GGGGATTTATTAAATTAATAATTAATATAAAAACAAATATTAATATTCATTCCCCCTTCCGTGATGCTAATCTCAGGTAAACCAGTGTGCTGGGAATCTGGTCAGCACCTCCACCGGGTACAGAGAATCAGTAACTGTCTCATGAGCTCAGACACTTACCCACATTTCCTGTGGTAAACCGCAGCAACGCTCTGATTGGCCAGAGCTCGGAAGACAGCTACACGTGTCATGTGGGTGACAGACGTGATGGCTGTGTGTAATATGGATGCTATGTGTTGGCTGTGTGCAATATTTGTAATGAGTGCAGGGCCGCAATCAGGGGGTGACAACCATAACTCCCCAGGTGGAGCGGCGGAACTGCCGCCGGTGCATCTGCACCGGGCCCATACGCTGATGGGGCCCATCAGGTGGCCCAAGCATTTAGGGCCACCCAAAGGGTCCTATTATCTTCAGGGGCCCGATCAGCGCTGTAATAGCGTGACCGGGCCCCTTTAAAAATAAATGCAGGCGCAACACAAGTGCTGCTGGGAGGAAGTGACGGCCGGTCACTTCCTCCCAGCTTACTCCGTGCGGGAAGGAGGACGCAGCCTGGAGGCCGAGAGGAGAGGCAGCCATCGCCCATCATCCCCAGCTACCCTCCTGCAATGCAAAGGTAAGGAAGAGAAAGGTGGCTGAAAAATTTATTCTGTGTATGTATGCCCGCCTGTATGTATGTATGCCTGTATGTATGCCTGCTTGTATGTATGTATGTATGTCTGTATGTATGCATGTATGTATGCATGCCAGTGTATGTATATATGCCAGTATGTATGCCTGTATGTATGTATGCCTGCCTGTATGTATGCCTGCATGTATGTATGCCTGCATGTATGCATGCCAGTGTATGTATGTATGTATGTATGCATGCCAGCGTATGTATGTATGCAGGGCCGCCATCATAAATTGTGGGGCCCTTAACACAGCTCAAGGTCTGGGTCCCCGGTGGCCCTCCTCCAAATCCCGCCCACAGGAATACACACACACAGACAAAAAAGGACACAGACACACACACAGAAAGATACACACATACTAACAGACACAAATACTGAAAAAGACATACACAAATATAGACACATACACATGCATATGGAGATACAGATACACATACTGACATACAGACACACACACTGACGTACATACATAATCACATACTGACACACACATTCATACATACATACAGACAAACAGACATACATACAAACTGACATAAAGACAAACAGACATACATACACATAAATACATACATAATGGCATACATACACATACATACTGATATACAGACTTACACGCACACACACAGATATATACATACACAGATACATACAGACATGCTGACATACACACAGACATACATGCATACTGACATACATACTGATAGATATATACATACACACATACAAACTGACATACACACACACACAGACATACAGACATACATACTGACATACACACCGGGTACAGAGAATCAGTAACTGTCTCATGAGCTCAGGCACTTACCCACATTTCCTGTGGTAAACCGCAGCAACGCTCTGATTGGCCAGAGCTCGGAAGACAGCTACACGTGTCATGTGGGTGACAGACATGATGGCTGTGTGTAATATGGATGCTATGTGTTGGCTGTGTGCAATATTTGTAATGAGTGCAGGGCCGCAATCAGGGGGTGACAACCATACATACATACTGACATACACACACACAGGCATACATGCATACTGACATACATACTGATAGATATATACATACATATATACTGACACACACACAGACATATATACATACTGACATACACACACAGACATACATACTGATAGATATATACACACACACACACACACAGACATACTGACAAACAGACATACATACATACATGCAGACACATACATATACACACACACACCTCATTTATCAGCCACCCTCCTCTTACCTTTAAGTTGCAGGAGGGTGGCTGGGGATCATGGGAGCGGATGCCTCTCCTCTCCTCTGCTCTCCCTGTCCTGTCCTCTGCTCTGCTCTGCCTCTCCCCTCTGTGTGTGTGTGTATGTATGTATGTATATGTGTCTGTCAGTATGTATGTATGTCAGTATGTATGTCTGCATGTATGTGTGTGTGTGTGTGTGTCAGTATGTGTGTGTGTGCGTGTGTGTATGCCAGTATGTGTGTGTGCGCGTGTGTGTATGCCTCTATATATGCCAGTATGTATGTGTATGCCTGTATGTATGCCAGTATGTGTCTGTCAGTATGTATATATCAGTATGTGTGTATGTAAGTATGTATGTATGTCAGTGTGTATCTGTATCTCCTTATGTATGTGTGTGTCAGTATGCCTGGATGTGTGTATGTCTGTTTCAGTATTTGTATCTGTAGTATAGTATGTGTGTATCTTTCTGTGTGTGTCTGTGTCCATTTGTGTCTGTGTGTGTATTCCTGTGGGCGGGATTTGGAGGCAGGTCCCCGGGGGCCCAGACCTTGAGCTGTGTTAGGGGCCCTAAAATTTCTGATGGCGGCCCTGAATGAGTGTATTGACTGTGTGTGATATATGTGTGTGATGTTTGTGCAGGGTTTATTTGCTGAGTGTGATGGGTATGTCATTCAGATAAAAATATGTATGTAGGCCCATGTGTGAATGCAGGTGTGTGTGTTGTTGTAGAGTTGCATGCACACAGTCCCACAGTCAGATGCACACAGTCCTAGGCACATAGTCACACACACTGTTACAGGCACATAGTCACACACACCGTTATAGGCACAGTCATACACACTGTTACAGGCACATAGTCACACACACCGTTATAGGCACAGTCACACACACAGTTACAGGTATACAGTCAAACACACAGTTATGGTCAGTCGCACGCATGTACAGGCAGACAATCACACACAGGTACAGGCAGCCACATGCGACACAGACACACACAAAGTTATAAAGGAGCTAGCACTGTAGAAGTAGATGGGGATCAGGGGCACTGCAGCAGATGGGGAGCAGAAGCACTATAGCAGTGGATGGGGATCAGGGACACTGTGGCAGATGGGGAGCAGGGGCACTATAGCAGTAGATAGGGAAACAGGGACACCGGGGTAAATGTGGGAGCAGGGGCACTAGGACATCATATAGGAGAGCATGGACTTACCAGGCAGCAGATTCGGGCCTCGGATAGCTCTGCCCCACCACACCAGCCTCTTAGCTCTGCCCCCTTTGCCCTTACTAAAACAGAGTGGAGGGTGCTGCGTGGCCACGCTGCACAGCAGAACCTGCATTACAGGAGTGCTCTGAGCACCCCTCACAGCTGTCACCCAGGGAGTGTGTAAGCTGTGTCAGCCACATGGCGCCCTCTGTTGCCATGGCGCAATGTGCGGCCGCACAGCTCGCACACCCCGAAGGCCGGCCCTGGTTAAGAGTTCCTAGTCTATTGACCCAATAACAATATGTTAACTACCCTCCTTTAGTTTTCAACTTAGAAGGAATTAGACTAATTTAACCTATCCCTCTGTTAACTATCTCACCCTGGCAGGAGATGGGTTAAGATTTTCAAATAGGTGTTTAATAATTTTACCAGAAAGTTAGATTCTAGATCCACTAGATACATTGTCAGACTGCACCTATTTTCTAAGCAGCCTCTAGTAGGTGTTTAGTATACCTGCAGATCGATAGATTTCTTCTATCAAGCTGCCACTTTGTTCGTCCATTTATCTATTTTCACACACAGCTTGAACAGAACTGATGATTTTAGTACTTGTCTAATTTAGATAGTCTAACTATACATTTTGGATTCATTACGGATCAACCTTTATTTTTGTCTGTCACCTAGAGACCTATCCCACACCTCAGATACCGGTATTGAGGTTTTGCTTATTAAACAAGACCTTTATCAAGTTAATATTTATTAGAGTCTCTGGGCTATACTAGTCAATACAGATATTACTTTCCTTACTCACAAGATTGGTTCTGATTGCCACCAGTTATTTTGTTTTTAATAGGTGGTGGTATTAGTCCTATTGTGGTTTACTTATTTTTTATTTTAATAATCCATTAAAAGTTACATTTTATATATTCTTCAGTCATACTGTGTGTTCTAAACAATATTCTGGGTAATTACCCCCTGCTACACTCCTGTTCTTTTCAGATTTTTGGTATTTTGATAAAGAGGTTAACCCCCACTTTACAGGATCTTTATTTATGCACCATTTAACTATATCTTTTTGCCACTTTTCAGAAATCCGAAGCACTTCGGCACACTTTGGAAATTCGGCACTTCGAGCTTCAGTCATTCGTAAGCGTCCAAATTCCACGAAATTCGTCTGAATGTTCATTCAGAATGAAATAAATTGCACATGTCTACCACTGGGATGTTTCCTGCAGTATCTGTGACTGATCAGGCTCTCACATTATGTATGATATGGAAGTATTTACAGGTTAAATTAGATATTGCTGTAAATTGAGTCAGTCTGTGCAAATAAAGGCCAATAGTTTGTACTTGTGCCCCAAGTGATATGTTGCCAGTTCTTACCTTGTCTGTGTGGGGCCCTTTACATACTAGTTTTTTTTAGCTAAATGGTGAATCGTGGAGATTTCAAAACCAAACAGCTTAACTCATAAAGGTTATTCACTAAAGTGAGAATTCAAAGTGAATTTAAAATTGAAGGTCATAATAGCCTAAATTTAATTTTATTTAAATCAGCTATGCTTTTAGTTCAGCTACTTTGGTTTTAAATATTAAATTCTCTCTTTGTGTGAATAACTGCGTAAGTATTAAAAACCCCAAAGGGACCTTTTATGGCTGTAATCTTGCTGTGTAATGTCAGTCATTTCTCCCAAATTTGTTCTCATGGTAAGTATTCTCTCCGAACTACCTTAGCACACAATCTCCACTTGCATAAGAAAAAAAAAAACTTAGCTATGGATCTGATTAATGTTTTTTTTTTAAAATCGGGGAAAGAAGTAAATATACAGAAAAAAGCATTGAGTTTGATATAAAATAAACAAGCCATTTCTCAACATCTAGCATACAGACTACAAAATGTAATACTCGTAGCATACTACCAGCAAGGACTATACCTGTGATAGAGTGTTTTCTCTTAATTAATATTAGTCTTTATATACTTCTGTTTATGTATACAGACTGGCATGTGAGTGAAAATATGTATTATATATTAAAGTAATTGTGTTCATGATTTATTTTTTACAAAACTAAGAATTTAATAACCGTGTCTTTATATCAGTAATGCAGGTCCTTTCCTGGACATAATGGACTGGATTCTATTACAGAACTCGGGAAACTGAATAGCAGTTCTCCCCTTGACATCTACAGAAAAGTTACTATTCAATTACCAGATATATCCTTATCTTAATAGAATCCAGGCCCAGAGGGATGGACTGGTCACCTTACTGGAATTGTAATTATCTCGTTCCCTTGAACTACTTCTTTTTCTCTCTCATCCTTTTTATATTATTTCCCTGCAGGCTTAATCATGTTAAACTATGCATACACTGAAAGTGAATTAAAAATATATGGAGAACAAAAATAGACCAATTCCTCAACTTATCTTTTTCATATATCCAGCTTATACATTTAATAAACCAGCAATGTATTCTGTGCTGAGGTTAGGTAACTGTCGATACTCCAGATGTTGTGGACTACATCACCCATAATGCTTTTACTTTGGTTTTGGCAAGACATCAGAGGAGATGTAGTCCAAAACATCTGGAGTGCCGAAGGTTGCCAACCCCTGTTCTATGCATATGAAAGGTGTCATTAGTAAAACGTTTTGATACACCTAAAATGAAACCATCCCTGTGAAAATGGGATAAATACTAAAATACATATAAATATTAGGAGAGTAGAAAATAATTTCTAAAAATAGCTTTAATAATATACTGTAATCATGGAACAAATATCAACCCACCAATAAGGACTGCTTTGGTTACCCAGCAGCATAAAATTTGCCTAAATAAAAACACAGCCTAGTGGGCTGCTCGATGATCTACAGTTCCAATTAATGGTTTAATGTCCTGTAAAGAAAAGATTTACAGTTTAACCCACACATGCTTTGCAGAACTCTTTATTGGTGGATCAATGACTTAACTCTTCATGACTGATTTTGATTAGAATATATTATGAAAGGAACACGCTAACTTTAGAAACACAAGCATGTATTTTGTAGAGTGTTTAACTGCCTAGTTAGATAATTGCAGTTTTTTTTTTTTTACTTACCTTTCTTCACAAACTGCACAGGACTAACCGTGTTGGTGATCTCAGTGAATCCAATGCTTCACCAAAGGGAAGTATTGGGAGGTTACAGCGCATGCATAGCAATTGCCATGCAACATCTCCTCATGTTTTAGCTCAAATGTTGCATGACCAGTAGTGCCTCTAGTGGCTGTTCAAGTGACAGCAACTAGAGGTGGCCTTAAGGACACATGTAAAAACTACCTTTTTACTTTTCAGAAAATATATTGTTTATAATGGTCATATTGCAAGGGCATTAATCTGTAATGCTTCTGGTACCGGAGTGACCCTTTAAATTCTCCTGCTATCTAAATTTTTAGTTCTAGGTGATGGCAACAATTCTAAAAGGTAATGTTACACTTACACTCTGTTATTGGCAGTAATTATTGCAGCCGTGATAGTATAAGCATTTTCTTGAATCTAGGTGGCTAATTTGTTTTTCACACAAGGGCAATGGGTGTTGCACAACTTTCCTTACTACATACATGAATTAAACATGATCATTTGTTTATTCACTCTGGATCCCTGAGTTTAATTAAAGATTCACCCTCATTTCTTGGCATAACTATGCAGTAATGCAGGACATCACACATGGCAAACACTTTTTCATAACTATGTCATAAAAATCACGCAGGCCTACAAATACTGATATTGAGTTCCTCTGAAGCAGATTATTCACGTACATAGTCTTACATAGCACATTGCCGGTGGCTTTGAATTTGCAGAAAATTACCATCCAAGCTTTATTTATAAAATATTGATGATTTAAAAATGTGAAACACAATAATAATCATAAGCTAACCTAAATTAATGTAAAAGTGCATATGAAGAACTAAATTGGCGATAGGGTGGACAATTTGGCCCTGCATTAAGTTGGTTGGACTCCTTGCACATGCCTATGCTGAAGTACAAAATATTTAAAATGGATAATTGTAACAATAATGACTATGAACTAAACCTCTAGCTATCTGGAATTAGCTAAATGTATACATTATACAAAGCTGGCTTTATACATAACCATTAAACCATTCTACTGCAAAATGACATCATAATAAGTTTTTAATGTTTTTTGTTAACTTTTCTGTTATACAGCAAGACCGTCAGAGAGGGGGAAAAAACAGACAGGTCTATAAATAAGGATGGAGGTAATCTTTGGAAAAGGATGCCCGGAGTGCAGGTCAGTGCTGGTATTATCCGAGGTCCTCTTTTTTATTTTAAGGCACATTTAGTGATTTTTAACGGAGTGTAACAAGTTCCTCAGATGAGGTGGGATGAATGGCAACAGTATTATCAAAGTCTTTCTTGGTGGCTCCCATTTTGATGGCTACGGAAAATCCTTGCAGCATCTCATCACATCCCAGTCCCTGCATGTGCAACCCGACTACCTGCAATAAAAATAATGTCTATTAGTTAAAATAATGGGTTAAAAAATTAGTTATCCAAAATCTATGTTGTATTAGGTCACATGATGTAAAACCAAAATACACATTCGATGTGAAACAATTACTGTAAAGGAAACGTGTTAACTTATTATGACTTGGTGCATGTTTCCCATCTAAAGGCCAAAAGGCCATACATTCACCATAAAAGATTAAATTAGTGAATGAGTGTATGGAATTATCCATTCTTGGGAATGCTCTGGATTCACCTGGTGACTCAAGGTTTCACAGGTGATTGCCACGTCTTTAGGTGAAACCCCTTATTTCCAGAAAATGAGAAGAGTGAAGTGTAATGTAGCCTCTTTATGTTACATACTCTAGGTCTGGGGAACTAAAAACAGGACGCTATAGTCACCAAAACAGCTTTAGCTTAATGAAGCAGTACTGGTGTATAGATCATGCTCCTGCAGTCTCACTCAATTCTCATGCATTTATGAGTTAAATCACTGTGTTTATGCAGCCCTAGCCACAACTCCTTGCATGTGACATACAGCCTTCCTAAACACTTCCTGAAACAGTCATCTAATGTTTACACTTCCTTTATTGCAAATTCTGTTTAATTTAGAATTTCTCATCTCCTGCTGTGTCAGTAGATTTCTACTCTACATCTGTTTGAGAATGAACTCATTTTGTCTTCATGCAGGCTGTGTAATTCACAGCCAGGAGATTTTGACTAGGGTTTCATGGAAAGAAACAAGAGTGATTTAATTCCTAAATGGCAGAGAATTGAGCAGTGAGACTGCAGGGCCACGATCTATAACACAAAACACTTAATTAAGTTAAAATTGTTTTGGTTACTATAGTGCCCCTTTAAGCATGGCTAAACTGTGTTACCAGTTTGAAATAATATAAGTAAAAAATATGTTGGTTCTCACCTTTTCCTCTTTGTCAACACAGACTAGTTTCATCACACATTTGGTTTTCCTCGTGGTAATCGCATGGTACATTGGTGTAAATGATGTGGTATAGATCTTTACATTTTCTCTACCTTTTGTGGCCACAGCCTCCTCTAAAACACAAAAAGGTCATATAGACGTTACCAGAAACTGAAGATTCATGATCCATATACTTAATACTAAATAAGACAAAGATAGAAGTGAATAACTTCGGTCCTCTCTCCCACCTTACCAGTACTGGGGAACAGTTGGAGGGCCATGATTAGACATCACGGGTAGGGTGAGAGCGAAGGAAATTATAAAAGTAAAAGAAGGAAACAGGAATTTTGAACGTTTCACAGTAAAATGAGTATTTGTTTCAAAACACCTGATCACTTTAATTTTTTAATATGCTTTGTTTCTGAAGATGGCCAACACGGTTAAACCTAAACCAAGATTAGCAATGAAAACAGGTATTTACTCAAGGGTATGCATTGGACATTGATAGACATATGCTAAAGTATATCTAGTCTTTTATTTTAAATATAAGTCAGTTTTCCTTTAAATATTACTTCCGTAGTATCACCTGGATAACAAAGATCGTCTGATAGGCCTCAGAAGAAGTTATAGACTTTGGGGGGGTTTCAGAAAATGAGAAATATACAAAGGTGAATATATTTTATTAGGTATACATTTTGCATGTCTCTTTAAATGACTAACAGTACGATTTACCTAGACAATGATCCTCAAGTGTAAAAAAAAGCAGAAGTCAATTCCACCATGGAATCTTTCTGCAGACTTGAGCTATCAAACCTGGGGTCTACCTGTTTCTACTAATATGTTTTGATTTTGGGTTTTTTTTTGTTTTTGTTTTTTTATGTAGTGCCTCCTTTCTAGATTCTCTTCGGTTAACGTTTGAGTGTAGGCAGCTATATGAATTAAAATCATATATCTACATATAAATATGTAGAAGCCCATGCTGGACACTGAAGCTCACATATTTACCCATTTACCCAATAAAAAAATTCCCCCATCCAAAAGCAAACCTATAAACTCATACCTTCAGTGAGTCCAACAGTTCCTATGGGTGGATGACTGAAGACCACTGTTGGAATGTTATTGTAGTCAAGCTTGGAATCTTCTTGACCTTCAAAAAGTCGATGGGACAATCTTCTCCCAGCTGCTATGGCAACTGAAAAATAGCAAAATTATTATTCGTTATTATTAGAAGATAAAGCAAAGAGAAAAATGAGCACAAACCATGTTGAGATATTGTGTTTCCCCATAAGAGGTCATTTTTGCTACTTGTTGAGCTTAATATTTGACAAATATTTCAACTCCCCACATGCTACCCAGTGTGTTACCATGTTATTTAATGGATGAATAAAATTTGTGTTTTAAAAGAGCTCATCAACTTGCATTTGCTTTTAACAAATAAATCAAGTAATCCTGTATTGGAACTATATCTGATGCATAAGCTACTTAGGACCAACACTCTCAGCTCTGTCAAGTTCTTACAGGGTCCTGAAAGTACCTGCGACCCGCTGTTTGCTCAAGGGCAATGGACGCGGCCTATCTCTAACCAAATAATTGACTTAAGTGCTGTTTGGGTTACGTTCCCCGGCCTCTGGGCTGGTGGGGGTTATCCCGGTTTGAGAATCATGGACAGCAACTGACACCTGCATCTAAGTCTGCTGGGGGAACTCGGAAAGGAGGCGGATGAAGACCAAAGAGACCACAACCGGGCATAGGTGCCATCATACTCACCTCTACTGTTGCAGTTTTCCCTCCTAGGCTGTAAGCCATTTGGGGTTTGACCCCCATACGCCACCCACGTCTGCGAAGGACTGCTCGGCGCCTCAGAAAGTGGTGACAGAGACCCATCCACAGTCCCCCATCGGGGAAGGACTTAACCTCGGAGAAACACAGAGTCTGCAAAATAGTGCCAGCTCTCACACGGGCCTGGGGCTGGAGGGGCGCTTCACCTGGTCTCTACACGGCTCCCTCGAGACTGAGTTTGGATACACGCATTAAGTCTAGTGTTGGAATTGGCTGACTTTAATGCTTTTCCATGGGAGCTGACATACCTACCACACGTCGAGTTATGTTTTGCAGCAGCAGCTGTAGTTTCTTTATTTTGTATTATTTTATACAAAGGTCTGGTTGGTGCAGGTGGCCTGAGCGGTACGAGCTACTGAATGTGCAGTCTGATTAGTACAGTGTAATAACCATACTATAGTCACTCATATTGTCAGAATGTTTATCTTGATTTTCTCTGCATGCTTTACCACATGTCTGACATAATAGTATTTGTTATACTTAGCATACTCCTGGACTAAGCTTATCCACTTGCCTCCTAACTCTACCGCTTAGTTTCAGCCAATGTTCTAGACAAATGTGTCTTGCCTGAATCTATTCAACCATAAAATTAGTGCTGTTGTTATTTTGAAATGCCACACATCTATCCGGATATGTATTTTGAACTGCCTGCTATAGCTGTTGGGGCATTGTGGGCTTGTCTGTAATTATCTTTATGCACTGCAAAAATAAAGAATAAAAAAATATATATATTTTAAATTGTATTTTAAATCAAAGTGGATCTTGATATGTATCTTTTTCGACCAGAATTCCACTGTTGAAGAGTATGACTGAAGAAGGATAGATTATCTTAGATAGCAGGCACCTGAAAAATGGATGAGTAGCATTGTTTGTGAATTAAAGTGTTCTCTATCACTTACATTGTAATCATACCAAGTACATCGACCCAAATATCAATGAGCAGCAATACTGTACTTGTTCTGATTCATACATTTTATTGTGTTTGGCATAGCAGAATATTTTTATATACATTTCTGTATTGCTCAAAATGTACTAGAGGGAGAGTTTAAAAATAAATAAATAAAATCAGTAACATACTCAGACCTTCCACTTAAAGATCTGTGTAAATCAGTGAGTATTAATAAATATTTTAATGTGTTTTTACATAGTTGAGCACTTTTGATTGCATATGTGTAAGAATGAATACCTGATATGTCAAACAGTGACAACACAATTTTAGATCATCTGATGTTTTCTTAATATTATTATTGGCATTTATATAGCGCCAACTTATTCTGCAGCGCTTTGCAATGTTATAAAGGGGAGAATTTAACAATAAATGGGACAAACTATTACAAAATTTACAAATCACCCTGCTATAATGCTTTGTTAAAAATCACCAGCCAAAATAGCAAAGTCGGAAAAAAGAAAATTCCATCTAGGTACTCTGCTTCCTAATCTATTGTTGCCTCATTGTGATTGCCTTGTCTGAATTGTATTATGGTGTAATTTACTAAATCTTTCATATAAAGCGACAGCTCCCTTTAAATAGAAAGGTATAAACTCCACTGAACTAGAAGCAAGGTCCTTCAGAGTATAAACATAAGGCAGAACAAACACATCCTTTTTAACTTCATTGGAAACAGCAAGTTAATTACCTGGAGTCAAGAGAGCGCGTCCACACACATCTCCCACAGCATAAATTCCCTTCCTGCTGGTGTTCTGGTACTCATCAACCACAATGTGGCCCTTCTCATCTAATTCAAGACCCTGGAATAAGACAAAAAGAAGTAAGTTCATAAATATACTTAAAACCATCACAAGCAGAAATAAAGATAAAACTAACATGGGAAGCTTACCAAGTTTTCTAGGTTCAATCCCTCAGTATTAGGATCTCTCCCAATAGCCCACAACAAGCAGTCAACATCTTGGATTGTCCTAACAGTGGGCTTGCGTCCAGGGACGGAGCACAGCACATTGATCTCTAAACCTGTGGGCGTCTTGTTTACAGCCTTCACCTGAGAAAAATAAGGCCATGTTTAAAAACTTAAGCACGCATAAACACAAACAACAGTACAAGCATGTCAAGAAAAAACAAGTTGAGTCTTGCTATGCAAAGATTCCACATCGATAGTATTAAGGATAGTGCTATGTATACACCTATATTTGTAATGACAAACAATATAAAAAATACAAACATAGATTGTTCTCAGCAGTACCTCAGCATACTTCCAGACATCTACACCAGCATTCTCCAATTCTTCTGTGCAGTTTGTACTAATCATGGAGTCAAATGTCCTTAGGACCTGTAATAAATATATATATGTAAATAAGAGATTGTTCTGTGAAATAGAAAGGTCCCCATTTGCCTTAAAGAGAGTTTACATCTCCAAATATTCTACCATTGTTCTTTTTGTTGGGGGAACTGAAAAAGGAATACACAGCTAGTTCAGACTATACATTACACTGTTAAGACCTCGTATGGGTAGGGCCTACCAAAATAAGACGAGAGATAATTCACTCATTAAGCTCAGTAGAAGTGGCAATGGAACATTGGGCTTTGTATTAAGATATCATTGAAGGGTTTCTTCTGGGGACAATAAGAGTAGCGCAATCATTTCAGACATGCTCTGCCTGCACAACTTGAACTAATGGTATACTTCTCATACAACAGTGCTTCTGAAGCACTCTGGACATGGACAACCTTGAGGGAAACTGGCTAGTATAGCTAATGGTCAGTCTGGCAAGCTCCCACAAAATCACTGACATGACTATTGGCCTGTGCATTTCCCTATTCCATATTCTGTCCTTCCAATTATGTATAAGTTCAATGTTTTTCCCTTCCAATCCATTTGGATCTCTGTATAATGTGGATTTGACAATGCTGATACCTATTTTATTCTAGATCTGCTCTATTCCATAGGTATTCATGATACATATACCCATGGAATAAAGCAGATCTAGAATAAAATAGACCTCAAGTTATATCCAACCAATTGTTCCTACTGTCTATTTCACTGCTATCTCATCATCTTCCCTTCCACTGTTCGTTGGTGTCCCACAAGTAAGACTATTTGGCCCTCTACACCTCTTCTCGCGGTATCTTTCACTGTTAATGAAAGATATGTGAAGGCAAAACTGAGATTTACCACTTCTTGTTATCTTCTTTCAGATCTCATGTAACATCTGCCCTTGTATGGTTTCTTTTTTTTTTTTTTTTGGTGCCCCATTACTGCATGAAACATAGCCTCACTAAAATTGGAAATCTTTAATTCCTCACAACTAATGGATATATCCCTCATTTAACAAAAAAAAATAAAAATAAAAAATAATAATATTCCATATCCCCACCTATCCAAGCATAAATCTTGATGACGCACTCTCCTTCGCCCCTAAAATGTATTCCTTCACTATTCCTGTAACTTCCACATCAAAAATATTGCTCAAATGAAGCATTACCTTGTCTTGGCGAATCAGCAAAGCAGCTCTTGATCCAAGAGCTGACAAGATTCCAGCTATTTCCACAGCAATGTAGCCTGCACCAATAATAACACTGCGCCTGAAAGAGAAAGGGACATTTCACTTTATGGGATGTGTGAACTCATTAATGTAAAATGTAGAAAGAATTAAACTATACATACAATGCTTTGTGTTTTATATTTTTACATTCATTGCATTATTATGTATTCTAGTATGTTTGGATGTGCAACTGAAACTTTTTAAGGTTTTAATAATCTGAAAGAACACTTGTTATGGTCACAATTCTTTTCTCGCTAAGTAGATATAATAGAGATAATTTCAAATATATATGAAAAAAGAAAGGTTTGTGAAAGAAGCAGGACTTTATGTTTATGCAAATAGCAGTCTTATCTGTCAATGTTTTCTTTGGATACATAAAGTGATGGATATGGTGATCTCCCTCTCATGCTGCAGTCACACAGGAGAGCACTCTGTACTGTGTGAAATCAAAAGTCCCTCTGCTGATGTCAGTACCGACATCAAATCCTCTGAGTTAGGGTTACCATGCGGGTAAGAGTGAAGGATAATATAGGATTAAAGTTAGGGTAGGTGTGTGGTTAGAGTTATTGTAATCATAGAGTTAGGGGTAGGGTTGGTACACTGTTAGCGATAACTACAAAAAATGTATACTAGACATTATTGTGGTTTTCAAAACACTAACAAATTCCGCAGCGCTGTACAATCAGGACTGATACATGCATATATTTTGAGGTTGTTTTTTTTTAGTTGCACTTGACGAATAAAAAGTATTATCAACAAAACTGTAAAATGTGGTTTTACAGTTTCAACATTTTATTCATACATAATAATACATGTTGTATTAGGAAATAAATAAATGAGAATATAGAATATGTATGGGTACATTAAAAAGGAACCCTTATATTACAGTGAAGAAACACATAAAAAAAAAAAAAAAAAAATAGAATGTGTTCTAAGTTAGAAATTTGGACAATAACCTCCTTTTTTTAAGTGGTTAAAATACTTCAGCAAGCTTAGTAGCCTTAGGGGACTGGATACCCCTTTACATTTCTTATTTTCTCTGTGCCATTATTAATAAGTTGCAAAGAAGGGTCATATAAATAGTGAGACAAAAATAAGAAGATGCTCAGAGCCCAGTGCTGTAAAACTATCCTTTCATTGTGTAACACTGTGTGCAAACACTCTATATTGTTTTAAGCTAGGTGGGAATTACTGGAACGATATATGTATGTTAGTGGCATTGGGTGAAGTTAGTGTCTGACTGTGTGTGAAAGGTCAGATAACGGGGATCCAGTTCCACGTCTGGCAAAACAACAGTAAAACAAAGCAGTCCAGCACAACAACTTGAGCTTAATGAAGCAGGTTTGATATATAGAGCATGCCCCTGCAGTGACACCAAACAATTCTCTGTGGTTTAAGAGTTAAATCACTTTGCTTATGTAGCCCTAGCCACAACTCTCCTGACTCTGTTAATTAAACTTTATTCACACGCAGGAGGCTGCTGCATGTTCAGACTGGCAATTAACAGAGTATGGGTCTGGAGTGTCCCTAGAAATTAGGTGAAAATTATCTGTAGCGTGTTACTTTAGCTCAGCACTTTTTCAAGTTGCAGTCTGGACAGAGTAAATCGGATTAAAAACGCGAGAATTATTTAGAATTAGAGATCGCAGGAAACAGAACAATGTGGATAAGGAAAAGAAAATGTCTAGATGAACAGCAAGTAGAACTCTAGGATGAATACAAAGGAGAATGTGTAAAATATCTGATCTAAGTGGGGACAGAGACAAAAAAAATAGCAAGAGGGGGAAGGTGGTGTAGATTTTATTTTAAAAAGTCCAGTGATATTTTGTTAAAAATGGGCACAGGCATATTTTGAATTATTAAAGTGATGATAAATTAACTTACTTTGGTAATTCTGTAAGTTCAAAAAATCCATCACTTGTGATGCCCAGACTGGCACCTGAAAAACAGAAAAAAAAGGGTACGAACTTTAATTCAGAACAAAACTTTTGTCCATACTGTTAATAGTAACTAATATTATCGTTATGCTGCATACATAGTTAATGCAATATGTTGAGAATCAACCTAACAAGCAAAATCATTCATTAACCCTTTGAGGATGTTAGGATGTGATTTAGGTATTAGATAGTAATTGAATAGCAGTGGTACAAAGGGCTTAATTCTGGAGATATTCCACTTGTGGGGTGGTGATGGTGATCTGCCTGAAGCACCCTGAGAGGGTGTGGAGTCTGTGGGGATACCAATCCTAAGAAGAAAGGTTCCCCAATCCTCTTCACCCAGCAATCGAAGTATTGACATTTTTGTGTGTTACCACTAGGGATCTGGAGGTGTCTTATCAATATGTTATATCTTGGGACCACAAAAGTTGGGTCTGTGGAAGGAGGTATCTTCTCCAAAAGGCTGTGTTCATGGATAAGTCTGGAAAGATGGTAATGGCATTACCTTAAAAATTATACAGAGTTTTCCAACTCAGCGCTTGTAGAAAAAACACTTTATCCACTCTTGTCTGGAGCTTAACTAATTAATCTCTAGGAGCAGCAGTGCGTGCTGCTGGTGCCTTGAGAATCTGGAACATATTTGCATATTACATGAGTTTAGTTTCCTGCCCAGACCGCTGAAGCTTTACTACTTACTGCTCCAGGGCGGGACCGCTGGTCCCCCAAATCTTATTCTAGAGCTTTAATTTCTTATTTTAAGACAGCCACATCAGAGACTAGAATGAGCCTTATATCCTCCAGGAAAACTCGCAAATCTCTCTTGTCGGCTGAGCAGCTTCTGCCGCCTCATAAAAAAGTACTAGAGAGTAGGTGACAACCAGACTGTTCCTCTATAGTAAAGACGAGTTGTTCCACCCTTGAGGAGGAAAGTTTGTCCAGCTCCGACACCTCTTAGGAGGGTATTCCAGTTGCGGCCTAGAGAACAAGTCTACAATATGTACATTTCCAGATGGTTTATCCGCCCTTTGCTTCTCCAGCCTATAAGTAGTAGTGCCCTTGTTATAAGCAGTTAATATTATTATTTGCATTTATATAGTGCCAGCTTATTCCGAAGATCTTAAAACGAGGAAAATTTACCAATAAATGAGACAATTATAAAATGTCACAGAATAATAGGTTGACACCAATCCGCTGGGGAAAGCACTCAGGATATCCACAATATAGCTGGACATGGTGCAGCTAAATCAGAGTGCATCCATTTACTTTTGCTGTTGGATCCACTCCCCCCTCCCTCCTTGCATTTTTGTGTAATTTTTGTATTATAAATGAGATGTTATATATGTATATGTCATGTTAAGTTAAAGCCCTTTCTGTCTTTTAACAAACTATATATAACATGTATGGGGAACTTGAAGAGAAACCCTTAAAATTATGGTGGAACAAGCCTATAGCTCAAATTCAAGATTTTGTTTTGGTTCATAACATGGAAAACTACCTCCATCCTTAAGCAGGAATCACAATCACAAATTTTAGACCGAAATTGCTGAAGTGGAAGTACAAAGTAGAGCTAGATTGGAGATTTTTTTCTAGTGAACCTCGTAAGACCCAAATGTTGAATTTCCCTTCTCAATTCTCCATGATCCCTGTTACTAAACATGATCACCATTTAAATGAACAACCATGATAGTGATCTGGTTAAAATAAACTATAGTTTATTGTTACAAATATGTATCACCAGACATTTCATGGCATTTCTTACCAGGCACCTCCTCATCCGAGGGTATAGTTGGCTTGCCCCCGGTGGCTATCAGAATGTGCGGTGCTGTGTACTTCTCACCATTCACTTCAAGTGTTGGCTCTGGATCAGATGTGAAGGATGCATGACCCCGGATAATTTGTATCTGGGCCTATTAAATGTATAAAATTGCTTTATGTTCAAATGGATGTAATTATAACTGAGCATCACTTCTTTCCCACCGACACGTGGAAAAGATGGTCAAGTGAAAATAATATTAAACATTGTGATAAATAGAAATATACAGAATTGAAGCATTCACATGATTTTACTTATGAACATGCTCCTCCGAATTATAACAGAATAGTAATTCACTAATCACATATAAAGAGAAGTAATGAATTTAAAATTTTAAGCCAAAATAATCAAATTGAAAACATAGCTGAAAATATAGCTACTGTGGTTAAAAATTTAAAATTTTATTTGAATTCCTGAAAAATCACATTTTATTGTCAAAACTTTAGAAATAGATATCAGCTAAACTTACTGTTTTTTTAATAAATGATAGATACCTTGTGAAGGTTACTTTGGTAGATGTCATTCAGGCGACTAACATAGGCATCTCGTTTTTCTTTGATTACCCTGTAAGCGATATATAAAAAGAATTAGAAGCCGGGGGCGGGGCCTGACCGCCGAGCTGAGCGGACGTGACATAGAGTTGCTCCTGCATCTACAGACGAAAACTAAGATAATTCAGCCAAGAAAGGCACCCAAACAATGCAAAAGTGCCACCACCAGTGAGGTGACACTGTGGGGCACATGCAGATACCAAATAAGCAGCCCATCGGGCATGACTCGGCAAAGCGACACCTGCGGCCTACAAGCATATTCGCGGTCTTCTGGCGAAAACTAGAGGACCGACAAGCCATGGCACAAGGCCCAGAGGTGTATTCATCGCCACCGCTGCCTACACGCTCCCGCCATCAAGGCACATACCACAAGGGAAACGAGCACAGAAATGGCGCCACCTGCAACTACTCTACCCGCCTCCAAGCAGACTCACACTGGCGCACCCAGCAGCAAGCAACCCCTCACACAAGCACAAATACAAGTCATCCCGACCCACCTTCCGGCCTCTAATCAACGCCAGCTCCAAGAAGCGCCTGTGCCACTACGCACACCGGAGCAGGATAGCAAAGAGGAGAACCCGGCGGGTCCTGGAAGAGAAGCATTAACACAGACAAGCAGCGGAGAGCTGTGGCCCACAAACCCAATGCCAGGACATGGGCAGAAGACACCCCGAGAGCCCAACGATTATGAGACCCAGAGGAGGGAAACACATTGCCCTTCAGCTAGAAGCACATGTCAAGCCTCCAGAGCCGGCATCGGTTGAGCAAAGAGGACTGAGTGGGGGAAGAGTCCTAGTACCGACCACACAGAGGCTCAACCAGACTACCAGTAGCCAATTCAGGCATTCATAAATATCCAAGACATTTTAGCTTTACCACCAGATAACTCCAGCAATTGATCAGAATACACGAGACTCTCTACACATTATAACCCTACCGTTATAACCAGACTTAAGCAAGCATAACGCACCTCCTGTATTATGTAAGCAACAGGTCTCCTAGCCACATAACTTACATGACTAGGTTAGCACACACAATAGCATTTAATTATACTCCTAGTTGACGCATTGGTCCCCTTCAGGATATTTGTGTGTGTGTTACACAATAGTCTAACAGTGGATACACAAATACTATATAGCATGAGGTTACTTGACGATTTCTTATATAGTTCCTAACATAACATGTCTCCTAGCCAAACAAATCATATTGCTACATTTGCATCTAACCTGTATTATAACCCCGGCTGGATGGACCCAACGTGAAATCTTATTACATTGCTTAACTATTTTTTAAAATTCCACTCTACACCTTTAAAAAGGTTATTAATGTTACCCTGGCAGTCAGTTTAGTGTGCGTACTACACGTTTTATTTGCCTACTGACGACTATTAACACACTACTGTTCCTAACCTGTAATTCCAATATAGAAAATGTGCAGTTTCAACGTATGCCATGCTATTGATATATTTAGCGTGTTTTCACTCAGCTTGTTACAGTTGTCGTGGCGAACCAACCATGTATGTTCATACTTGCACAATAAAATTAAATAAAAAAAAAAAGGAATTAGAAGCCTAGACTGCTATTCCTCTGCTTATCTTAAAACAACTCTTCACATGATCAGATTTATATAAAATATATATTCCACAGTCCATACAATTGTAAGATTTCCAAATTTAATTGATTATTTAAATGTATATAAAATGTTTAATTTAATAGTAATCACTGAGGTTTCATTGGAATACATTTGCATCAGTTGTTTGTATCTGATTCAGAAGCACACACTAATACTAAGGAGGGCATGTTTATACTTCTAACGAGCTTTATTTATACACCACAAAGCAGAGTTCAAATGTACTTCCTAGTTCTAGAACCATACTATCTTTGTAATACTGAGCTCAAGTAAACATTGTGGTCTTTCCATCAACATCAATTGGCAATAAAAATGGTATCCTTAATGGGAAAAAGAATGGAAACGGCCAAGATATTTAACTTTGACATAGACATTGACTCTCCTCATGCATTTTGTCAATTTGTATGAACAGAAAATGTTTTTTTGCACTTAAAAAAGGGACCAGGGCCCTTGTTAAAACAATTACACAAGAGGTTTTTTGTTTTGTCAACAATTACATACTTCCATGTAAACTTGACATCTGACGTCGTAAAGCCATAATCTTCATGATCGTGGATGTACTCAGAATGGATGGCAGCATTCCACATGATCTGTTGGAGAAAAATCAATAATATAGCTGGAGTATATGTACTTTGATGGCTACAGAAGAGAGCAATAAGAAATCATTTAGATTTCCTTGCACCACAAAACAGGCTCATTACTAAACGGGCAAGTGGGCTATGTGAGTCTAGTTGGGTGCTGGTAAAACTACAGACAACAATTGGGAGTTAGAAAACAAAAAGGCAATGAATATCTAGTAAATGTACTAATTTGGCCTTGCCTGCACTTATCTCTATAAATTGGGGGATACCCCTTTAAAATGAACACAATAGAGAATAGAAAGATCTTTTCTTTTTCCAGGAGGGTTCTATTACATTTGACTTGTAAATACCTTTTTCATTAGTTTCTTTCAATGTATATATATTAAACTAATTAGGAGTTATGCTTAAACCCCTTAAGGACCAAACTTCTGGAATAAAAGGGAATCATGACATGTCACGCATGTCATGTGTCCTTAAGGGGTTAAATTTACTTCTCTAACTTACAGTGTTAAACGATTGCGAGAAATAAAAAGTTTACCTTTTTTGGTACACATCCCACATTCACCTGTAGATAAAAAAAAAAAAAAAGAACAAACTAAAACATGTAAAAAGGCAATGGGGACGTTAAACAAAAGCAAACACGAGTAAATGAGATGTACTTCAAAGGAATGAAAGGTTACCAACAAAGTAAGAGATGTCACACGATAAGCTGATTCACACAAACTCACAAATAGCACTAAAACAACACTGCTGGACAATAGGACAGCCTGTAAGCAAAGGATTACTAAATACTGCAAATGCCAAGCCAACATCCCCGTGAAATACAGCCATTGAAAGTATACAACAGAGGGCTACTATTAACATGGGTCCTGTACATCAGTGCTTTCAGTATATATATATATATATAAAAAATGTTGGCTAGTCGCCAGCATCAAGCAATGGCTGTCTGGCACCTGCCAACTGTATTTCAGATGCCAAAATTGCGCAGTATTCACGCTATCCAGCCCAAAACTAAGCTCTGTATCTTCACCTCCGGCAGCTAAGGGGATAATATCTTTATGTGCAGGGTTTCCTAGTGAAGTTTTTAGGAAGCAACACAAATTGATGCTTGTAAAACATTGCTTAAGATAAAAAGGTTGTAACATGCTATATCTTGCAAAATTGTGTAATATCATGGCATAAAAAAAGCTGGCAGCAAGCTGACATTGTCAGAATATGACACTACTATTAAAAAAGAATACAAACAGGTTGTGCCTAGTTAAACCTTTAAATGGTTACTCCAAGCACCATGACCAATTCAGTGTATTGAAGTGGTTATGGTGCTTCAAGTCTGTATGTGCAGCAATTGCAATATAAATATGTTGCTACCAAAAGGTGTAACTCCACCTATGGCAGTGTAATTAGTACATCCTTAGCCAGCACGGATCTCTGTGCATATTCTATATAGAGAGGGTCATTCATTGACTGTGAGCAATCAGCTTACACTTTGCTTAGAGGAGGTATTGCACCAACCGGAGATTTGCCCCATTACCGGTGAACAGCACCAGGCATGGATTCAATGCTAAAGGAACTCTATAGTCACCAGAACAACTACAGCTTAATGTTGTCATTCTGGTGTGTGTAGTCTGTCCCTGCAAGCTTTTTAATGTAAGCACTGCCGTTTCATAGAAAGGGCAGTGTTTACATTGCAACCTAGGAACACCTCTAGCGGCCACTCCTCAGATGGCTACTAGAGGTACTTCCTGGGTCAGTGCTGTACAGTTCAGCATCACCATGCAGGTCTTTCCGCATAGTGATGCATTGTGTCAAGGCATCTCTATTAGGAGATGCTGATTGGCTAGGGTCGCGTTTGACCCCACCCCAGCTCCACCTCCTTAGCTGACATCATCAGAACTGAGGATCTTAGCGAATCACAACGCTTTCCTATGGTGGCCAAACACTGCAAGGACTGGCGCAGCACTGGAAATCAGATATATTTTCTTATTATTTAAAAGGGGCAAGGGGGCGAGCGGAGGGAGGGCAAGAACCCTACATGTGTTTTAAACAATAGAGGGTTAGGAATGCATTTCAGAATCTGGTTGAGCCCTTAAAGAATAGTTTGCATGTTAAACTTAGCAGTGCTGTAGCATTACTCTCACCAGTTGTGTGTGTGTATATAGCTCTATTTAAATATATATGTTTTTGTTCTTGTATATCTTAATGTAAATTTTCCATACAATGCATTAAAAATTATTGTGTTAAATTCACTCTGGTGTGTCTCCTTAAGGCTAGCATGAGAAAGCATTACATGAATTAGAGCTCTGCAACTTATAATACACTTTACCACCCTGCAGTTTAAAGGCACATTAACATTAGTAGTGTAATAAATCACCATGGCTCAAAACTGTCCAAAACATACTACTGAATAATGAACAAAGGGACACTTTAATTGTAGGGGTGTGAACTGGAGTGTTGATAGTGGCATTTTAGTTATATTACAAATAACTTTGCAACTGAAATGTAATTTAAAGCAAGTATCTTCTACAGTATCTTATTAACAGAGTGATTTTTAACATGTTTATTTTAGTTTAAAGATACATTACTGTAAGTATTATTGCTGTGGAGCTCTGTTGTACACTCAGATACACCAACAGTATGGAGCTCCTAGAAAAGGACATTAAGATAGAAATTGGGTACATTTGGGCCCAAAATCGAGACTGTACCTCCTAAATTGGGACACTTGGATGTACACTATTTGTACTAATAAAGTTCCACCCAAGAGGAAGTCAGAAGCTATTTAATTCTCCCCTTATCTACTCCCAAAACAATGTCATTGAGTAATTTGTGGTGTAAATGTGTACACTGACTGCTCCCACCCCGAGATAAAGGATCTCAGCCCCTGGTTTTCGCTGCTAGCCCGGACTGAGGATGCAGGGGATGCTCCCTGTCTAGATGTCGCTCACCTGCTCGGCGCTGTACCAATCATGATGTGCATTTAACCCTTGTTAAAGTTCGGCAGGTTTCACAGAGTTCTAACTCTTATATGTACATTCTACACACTATATATACTTACACACGTGCCCCCCAGCTTGTTGCTCTCCACCACGGCCGCCCTGGCACCGAGCTCTGCCGCCCTACGGGCACCGGCCAGCCCTCCCGAGCCGCCCCCGATCACGAGGTAATCAAACGAGCAATGGGGGCGCCGCCGCCCTGAACCCCCAGACTGTACATCTCCGGTAACACCGGGGCCGGGCATGGCATGGGACATGGTGAGACTGGCACTGCCCACCCTGGACCAGGCAGGGGATCTGCGGGCCAAGCCGGGACTGAGGGGGCGTCCGGCGGATCTGAGGGAGTAGAACCTGGCACTGCCTAGGGTACCGGGTACACTGCTGGCAGGAGGGGGTCTGCAGCTGGGCACAGTCCTAGAGATGCCTCCCCAGCAGGGTTTAATGAAGCAGCAGGCGCTGGTGGTGTATGAGGATGTCCCAGGCAGGGGGTAGCTGGGCCCCGGGCTGGGTGGCTTGCTGCCCCGGCTCTGTTTGTACAGCAATGCTGGAGACCCGAGGCCTCTGCTAGCCCGCGCTATGAATGCCATAACACGGAAGTCCCTGGGTACATGTACTGGGAGGGTATCAGGCAGGAGGAGGCTGCTCTCTGCTTAGTCACTGTGACTAGCCAGCCTGGAGATCAGTACAATCATTACCTGATCACAAGGTGCTGCCAATCGGGCAATGAGTGGGCTAGCAGGAGAGACATCATGGCTAGTCACAGTGACTGCTCATTTATGGATTTACACAATCCTGTATGTGAGGTAGAACTTCATGCACTCACAGTACTGCATACCAGAGCACCCAGCCATTACTGTTTAATCTGCACTCTACCTAATTAAACAAACTAGGAGGAGCACCTACCTAACTCAACAAAACATGGTTCAATCATAGTCCACAGTTTGACATTTAACTAGGTCCCTCAAGTGCCTCCAGCCAGGTCTCTATTTATGGTAAATCACCTTTCACAATAGATATCTTTTTATCTTTCTACCAATTAGTTTTGTCCAAAGATCAGTGGAGTTGACATAAGATTTAGTGCTATTGCAAAGAGAGGTCGAACTACTTAAAAGTAGTCTGACACCTGCAGACAGCACCAAGGTATTCTTGGCACCATAGCCACTGCAGCACACTTTAGTGTTTAGTTGCTCCTTTTAATGTTCATATCCTCATTCTTGCAGGATTTTCCATTGATCTTTCTTTGTACTCTTTATCTGCCAAGAGCTGAGCTGGAGTTCAACCTGTGGATGGAGATATAGAGGAAGAAGAGTTTAAAGGGCTGTCTATGCACTACATTACCACTGCATACTATTTTAGTCATCACTGTGCAAAACAGCTATGGGTGCAACCCACCGGTTCTGTGTCAAACCATTTTCTAAAGCGAGAATTTAAAGTGGATTTAAAGTGATTTTCAAATTTAAGGCCAAAATAGCAAAACTGGACATTCTCTAATTCAGCGATACTTCAAGTTCGGTTATTTGAAATTTGCTTTCAATTCACTTTGAATTCTTACTTTAGTTGGGAAATTCCTGTGAAAATTGTATTTTAATATAATATTACTATATTGTTAGGAGTTTAAAGGACCACTATAGGAACCCAGACCACTTCAACTCAATGAAGTGGTCTGAGTGCCAGGTGCCCCTAGTTTTAACCCTGCAGCTGTTTCCTCTGCAGGGTTAATCCAGCCTCTAGTGGCGGTCTCCCTTTTTTTTGCGCTAGTTAGTATGGCTTTTTTGTTTGGCCTTTTTTGGGGCTGAAAAAAGATTTTAGAAGAAAGAAAACATCAAATGGTAAGTTTTATTTTATTTTTTTTACAGGTATTTAGTTAAATGGTCCCCCTCATTATTTTTATGGTGGGGGGTTAGGTAGGGGTTATTTTTTGGGGGGAGGGGGGTGACTAGGGGTTTGGGGACCCCTAGTCACCTGGGGGAGAGGAAGTTAATTTTTTATTTAGGGCCCCCACCCGCCGCTCAGGGGTTGGGGCAAGGGGGGAGGACATAAGGTCCCCCCCTAATTAGTATTTAGGGCCCCCACCCACCGCTCAGGGGTGGGGGCCAGGGGGGAGGACATTAGGTCCCCCCTCATTCTAATTTAGGGCCCCCACCTACCGCTCAGGGGTGGGGGCCGGAGGGAGGACATTAGGTCCCTCCCCAAGTTAGTATTTAGGGCCCCCACCCACCGCTCAGGGGTGGGGGACAGGGGGGAGGACATTAGGTCCATCCCCCCCTCATTCTAATTTAGGGGCCCCACCCACTGCTCAGGGGTGGCGGCCGGGGGGGCAATAGGTCCCCCCTCTTATTCTAATTTTGGGCCCCTCTTTTTTTTAAATTTCTTTTTTTTTTTTTTTTAACAGTGACCAGCCACGGGCTGCTCATTGTTTACTAGACATGCCCCTACTCGCGGTATAGTGAGTAGGGGCATAATTTACTAATACTAAGTAATCTTTACTTAGTATTAGTAAATTTGGCTGAAAGACCAATTTAGGTCTTTCAGCCTTTTGGTAGATAACTCACTAATACCGTACCAAGCGGCTGCAAGAGAAGTTCTGAAATTCCGAAGTGTCGAATTTCGGAATGCCGAACCAAACCGAAAATTTTCCCATGCACATGCTTAAAAACAATACCACATTATAAATTGGCGTAATAGTATAGTAGAACCTTTGGGTTGTTGGTTGTCAATAATTAAAACCTACCTATTATTTTAGGAATGTAATACTGGTCATATTTAAATGTGCTGGGAACCAAGATGCTTAAGGGACACTATAGGCACCCATACCACGTTAGCTCATTGCATCGGTCTGGGTTCATAGTCCCAAGTCCCTTAATCCTGCAAAGGTAATTATTGCAGTTTTTAATACACTGCAATACTTACCTGTGAGGGTTAACTCCACCTCTACCAGACAGCCACTAGAGGAACTTTCGGTCACCTGACGCTGGACGTTCTCACGGTATGCATTAGGACATCTATAGTCATGTAAAACCCCATAGGAAAGCATTGTACAGTGCCTTGCAAAAGTATTCACCCCCATTGGCATTTTTTCGTGTTTTGGAATTAACATGGATTGTTTGCATCATTTAATTTACAGAACATGCACACAATTTTGAAGATTTTTTTTTTTTTATTGTGAAGCAAACAACAAATAGGACAAGATAACAGAAAAAAGTAAATGTGCATAACTGTTCACCCCCATAAAGTCAATACTTTGTAGAGCCACTTACAAGTCGCTTTGGATAAGTCTCTGTGAGCTTGCCACATCTTACCACTGTGATTATTCCCATTGCTTCTTGCAAAACTGCTCCAGCTCCTTCAAGTTGGATGGTTTGCACTTGTGAACAGCAATCTTTAAGTCTGACCACAGATTTTCTATTGGATTGAGGTCTGGGCTTTGACTAGGCCATTCCAACACATTTACATGTTTCCCCTTAAACCACTCAAGTGTTGCTATAGCAGTGTGTTCGGGGTCATTGTCCTGCTGGAATGCGAACCTCTGTCCTAGCCTTAAATCAGGCACCGAGTGGTACAGGTTTTGCTCAAGAATATCCCTGTATTTAGCACAATCCATCTTTCCCTCAACTCTGACCAGATTCCCAGTCCTGGCTGCTGAAAAACATCCCCCACAGCATGATGCTGCCACCACTAAGTTTCACTGTGGGAATGGTGTTCTTTGGGTGATGTGATGTGTTGGGTTTGCGCCCGACATAGCGTTTTCTTTGATGGCCGAAAAGTTTGATTTTAGTCTCATCAGACTAGAGCACCTTCCTCCATACATTTTGGGAGTCTCCCACATGCCTTTTCACAAACTCAAAACGTGCCATTTTGTTTTTTGCTGAAAGTAATTACTTTCTTCTGGCCACTCTGCCATAAAGCCCAACTCTATGGAGCGTACAGCTTATTGTCGTCCTATGTACAGATACTCCAGTCTCTGCCGTGGAACTCTGCAGCTCCTCCAGGGTTACCTTAGGTCCCTGTGCTGCCTCTCTGATTAATGCCCTCCTTGCCCGTCCGTGAGTTTTGGTGGGCAGCCTTCTCTTGGCAGGTTTGGTGTTGTGCCATGTTCTTTCCATTTGGTTATAATAGATTTGATGGTGCTCCTGGGAATCATCAAAGATTTGGATATTTTTTTTTATAACCTAACCCTGAAAGGTGTGTATATGTAATGACAGATCATGTGACACTTAGATTGCACACAGGTGGACATCATTTTACTAATTATGTAACTTCTGAAGGTAATTGGTTGCACCAGAACTTTTTATAGGCTTTATAACAAAGGGGGTGAATACATATGCACATGCTAATTTTCTGTTGTCTATTTCTAAAAAAATAGTTTTATGTATATATTTTTTCTCATTTCACTTCACCAACTTAGACTATTGTGTTCTGATCCATCACATAAAATTCAGATTAATAAAACATTGAATTTAAGGCTGTAATGTAACAAAATAGGTAAAGTCAAGGGGGGGGGGGTGATTACTTTTGCAAGGCACTGTACATGCCTTTCTAGGAGGGAAGAACTAATGCAAGAGTGGCCATCGCCACTCATGTGCGTTATGTCTCCCCCCCACCGGCTGACATCAGCAGGGGAGGAGCGGAGGTGGTGCCTGAACCAGCGACAGAGGGAGGCACTGTAGGAAAAGAACTTTGTATTCCTGGCACTGTAAGAATTCAGAGAATTCAAGGTGAATTGAAAATTAATTTCGATTTTAAGGCAAAAGTAGTTGAACGGGAAGCATAGCTTTTTCCATTTCAGCAATTATAACCTAAAATGTGAAATTCACGTATCATTATCACTTTAGTGAATTACCTGTAAAAGTACATTTCACGTTTTAGGACAAATTAGCCAAAGTATAAACTTAAATTCACTTGAAATTCTTGTCAATTCACACTTTTATAAATAACCTAGGCAGTGATTTTTTTTTTTTTTTTTTTTAAATGTATTTATGTTTAACTTTATAGTCCTATTACTTTCATAACATTGATCGTAAAGGCTTTGTTCAGTCAGGGCTTGTCCTTGGTTCACATCTTGTGTAATCTTTATCATGATTGCAGGATCTCTATATTCTAAATGTTGAAATATTGCCAGTCATGCTCAGCTTGCTAAATATTTTCTTCCTTGTCTAGTTTCTCAATTTTGTTCTGTTTCATCACATCCCTTCTATTTTTGCATTACAATAACATTTTGTATAGGGTTATAGTAGATAAAATAAATCTTTTCCAATGGTGTCAATATGACACAACCTCAGTAGTCTTTACTAATAGTTTAATTAGATCTAGAGCAGGGTGCCACAATACAGCAAGAAATATCTTAAAGGGAAACTCTTACCTGCATGGTGTTTCAAGCACCCCGAATCCACTCTGGTGTCTCGCACTGGGTTATATGGCTATCGATTTTTTTTAAAATAAATCACTGCCACTATAAGACAGTTTACTAGTGCTGTCAGTCAAACAGCCTGGAACACTTACAGGGTTATTCAGTAAAAGTTAGAATTGTTGGGAGTTCAAATTGAATTCCAAGTTAAAAGGAACGCTATAGCGTTAGTAATACAAACATGCATTTCTAAAGCTATAGTGTTTCCCTACAAAGTTAAGTGTTTCATCCTCCGCCCTTGAGGGTTTAAAAGGTAGTTTTACTTACCTTTACTGCCTCACTGTGCTGGTCGTGTTGCGGCTGCCTGCTTCCCTGGATGAAATTAAGGTTGATGAAAGCACTACGGAATCTGTTGGCGCTTTATAAATGGAAATGATAATAAAAATGATCCAGCCAATACAATGCTCCCCCACAGGGAAGTATGTTCACCAATCAGATGGACTCTATGAGCAGCATTTGATTGAATAACAGAGCCTGATTCGGTTATTCAGCAGAAGCCCCCTTTAGTTGCTGTCAGGAAGGCAGCCAATAGAGGCATGTTTAACCCGGCTGCAAATATAACAATGCTGTACTAAAAGGCAATGTTTTAGATTGCAGAGTTCAAACTAGAGCACCACTGCCCCCGGCCTCTTCATTGTGATGAAGTGGTCTGCGTACCTTTAGTGGTCCTTTAAGGGCAAAGTAGCTTAACTGAACGCATAGGTGACTTTGAGAATATTTCCAGTTTGGCTATTTTGATCCTTAAACTTAAAATTCTTGACAATTCGGACTTCAGTGAATAACCTGACCTCATATCCCAGCTGTTGGCACACTGCAGGTTGTGCGAGGGAGCTGAGCAGGGATAGCACAGTAAGTGAAGGCCTCCCTTGCCACCTGTACATCATTACATTTGGGCAGAGTTAGCAGCTTGCCCTTTTCCTCCCCACAGCATTGGTGCTTTAGATGTAGAGGGAGTGGGCAATTACCCCATTGTAGCAATGCTATAGAACCCAGATCACTATACAGTGAACCCGGCTGTGTGTAAAATTAAAGGTCAAAAGAGCCAAATGAAAAAAATCTCTAAGTCAGCTATGCTTTCATTTCAGTTACTCTGACCTTAAAGGGATACTATAGGCTATGTAAATGTAACATATCACACACCCCGCTTGTCACACATTAGGCAAGTGCCATCAGGGCCGCACTGACCCACTACATCTTTGGGCCAGTTTGCGTCTGCCTATGGTGCACCGGCCTGGGGTGTGCATAGTGCAATTGCAGGGTGACAGTTGGGAAGGTGAGCACTGCCCTCGTGCCGGTCACTGAATGTAGCGTGGCCGTGCAGGCAGACTACAGTAGAGGAGCTTCTGTTCCTCTACCCGATCTGACAGGAAGTGCTCTCCGAGGGAACAGGACTGCTTCCTGTTAGACTGGGGAGAGTGCACAGGAGCTCTTCTACCGCTACACATGAGCTACAGGAAAAGCTTGGGAAGGAGGAAATGAGGCACATGGAGAGGCTGGGGGGATAATAAGTAACATGGAGAGGCTGGGGGGAAGGAAATGGGACACATGGAGAAGCTGGGGAGGAGGAAAGGGACAAAGGGTAGGGCTAGGGGGTTAGGAAATGGGACACACCAACGGGCTGGGAGGGGTGGTAATCTGAGACACGCATGGGCTGGGGGGGGGATTAATGAGACAGACGGAGGGGCTGAATGAGACATACAGAAGGGCTGCCGGGCAAACAGAGACACACAGAAGGGCTAGGAGATAAAGAGACACACAGAGGGGCTGTGGGAACAAACAGAGGCACAGAGGGGCACAAAACACACAGCGGGGCTGGGGGACACAAAAGCACACACAATGGCTGGGCAGTCAAAGTGGCACAAGGAAGGGTTGGGGGAACAAAGAGACATAGAGAGTGGCTGTGAAAGGTGAAAATAACACACAAAGGGTTGGGGGACAGAAAGACACATAAGGGTCTGGGGGAATAAATGGGCCTTGCAGCCAGCTTCACTAGTCTGCCAGCCACAGCATCCAGCCAGGCACAGCAATTAAGTTGAGAAGAGCCAACTTGGGCTGGGTATTAGAGAGCAGTTATATTACTATATTGTAAATGGGGGCCTTTACATGTAACTTTATGGCTAGTTATGTGTTATCTTTTAACTACTTAATAAATAAAATATAATTTGAAAATAAAAATGAATAAACAGACCAAAAGTTTAGACAGATTTTGAAAACCTTTATGAGCAAAACCATTCAATTAATTTTACAATTTAAACAATTACAAACCAAACTGCCATGGTTAAGGCACACATTATATTAAGAGAAAACTATTTTCTTTTAAACTTCAGCTAGACAACACACCACACACAACAGTATTGAAAGAATTTAAAAGAAGAAATAGCTGTGTGTGAAATTTACAATGTTAATCATTTGTAGGCAGTAGCACATAACACAATCCTATCACAATTAGGAATGTCACCACAACAAAGTTGACAGCTACATGGTGCAGCTATAGTTGTATTCTTTTTAATTCACAACACAGTGTTTAATGTGTTGATGCTTTTAGTTTCTGGTACAATATTTCACAACACAGAACTAACTGAAAACCAAAGCCATTTAAAAAAAAAAAAATGAAACATTTCTACTTAAAAACATTAACATACATTTAATGCGTTACATGTTTGTTAAATATTCACACAGCAAAAAAAAAAAAAGAGATCTTAAGTTTCACACAACTATGTTATAGTTGAAGTTTATATGAAAACAACAGATTTAAAGCGAAGCGGTCACTTTTTTGTATTTTATAAAGATAAGGTTGCCATCACCATTTGTCAAATTCCAGCAGCCGCGGCAAATGACTGCTGTGGGATTTAGGCTCTGTTTATGTAGGATTCTGTGGTCTCTCTGGATCATCCATATACCTTAGTGTTGTACTCTCATGCATGCGTGGTTGCGAGGGAAATGCTGGGATTAGTAAAACTTACCTTCCCTGCACCTCACGGCCACTGGACCCATATGAGATCTGTCAGTTTCAAGGGTCTTCGTGAATCGTGAAATATGCAAATACCCCTGAGAGCGAATCTGTCAGTTTTCTGAAAATGACAATCCTTCACCCCATTAAACATTACTAATGTTTAAAGAGAAATGCCATAAGCATGCACATTCAGTCATCCTTTACAGTACAGTGTTTATTTAATTTGAATAATATGCACTGGGCGTGCTCTATCAGACATGCAATGTAAATTTCCTTTTTTTGTTTTTTAAACAATTTCTTGCTAACTTTTATATCTGCATAGTTAGCTTTTTAAATGTTTAGTATTACATAAGGTAAAATGCCAGTCACATTTCCACATCACTTCTCATTTTTAGTCTCTCCCCAATATCATTTCTCCTCTTTCTCTTACCTTATTGGCACATCACTGCCAGGTGAGGGAAGATATAGTGCTAACAAGGACTGCTGCCTAAAGCGGTCAGTTGCATGACAGGCTCCTGTCGCTCATCACTGCCATTTGTCAGCAGATGCAGGAGCCTGCCCCACACACAGCCTAAATAGACACTAAATGCACCCAGATCACTTCATTGAGATAAAGTGGTCTGGATGCAGTGCCCCTGTTATTTTAACCTTGCAATGTAAAATATTGCTTCCACTGCAATAACAGTTGGACCTGGTTAAGCATAGCAATCTAAAATATTGCCTCCACTGCAATAACAGTTGGACCTGTTTAAGCATAGCAATCTATGCTTTTCATTGGGAACATTTGCCTGCCAATGTTTCAGATGAAGCATTGGTTTGGCCGAAATCATCAATATTGATTATCTCAGCCAAGGGGCTGGGTGGCTGAGGGATAAAAGGTAAGTAAATCTTACCTTTTTTAAACCAATAAAAGGGGGAGGAGAAGGGGGGCAATACTTCACTATAGTATAAGGAATACATGTTCCTTAAGCACAGCCATGTTTGTATGTAGCTGATTTCTAACTTACTATATATAGAGAATGCACTCTACCTTCTAGTAATTCAGGTGGGGTAAAGATTATATATAGCTGCCCAACCTTGGATGAATATTTGTTTTTTGGCATAACAGTGCAAATGGGCTGGGACATTACGGATTTACCATTGAGCAAAAAATAAAGGACTAGGAGTTTAAAAAATGTAAAAAAAAAAAAAATGAAGAAAAGTATGTTCTTAGAGAAAATGTTGAAGTATCGTGACCCCATCAGTTGACTGTATTTGAGAAAGTTATTTAAAATGGTTTGGATCGATTTTAAGTAGTATATACTGTTTACTACAGTAGGTTTATAGCATATACAGAAAAGCATTTTGTTGGCTTTTACCAGGTAAACTTGGACAACACTTTAAACATAGTGCCTAGATACTTGTTGTGCTTGCTGGTGGACTGAAATATTGACACATGTCTACAGAATGATATAATAAAGAATGGGCTCTTTACATATAGCTTTAAAATGGGATTAATTATTACTAACTCTTAATTCTGTTGATAAGCTTTTCAAAGGATTATAACCTGTTTAATGGTGACTTCTGCAGATAAATCAGAAGAAACATTTCAAAGTCTATAGGTGTTTTGTAGATAAATAAATTGAAAAGTTTTTCAACATATTGCGATCAATTGAATGTTTGAAGATCTTATCCAACAGAATTAAACCAATGCCTATGTTTCTATGACTGTATATCTTTACTTATCATTCATGGTTTTTGCAACATTTAATCTCAAAGGGGTAGAAATACATATTTAAAACCAGTAGTCAGCAACATTTAATCTCGAAGTTAAGCATATACTCTAATTTATATACAAATAGCAGAAGAATAAAGAAACAAAATCAGGTGTAGCTGTAGTCCTCAATAACAACATAACGATTTCTTCTATTTTAAGAGGAAAAAAAGTATATGTATCCATATCTATACATTAGATCTATAATGCTTACAAATATATACTCTAATAAAATCCTTAAAGGCATACAAGCACACACAAGTTAACAGTAAAATTCCTAAAGCAGGCAGAGCCCGTTTGGACAGTTCATACAATGTCTATGCATTTCCAAAAATCCCAAGTGGTTCAGTACCATGTATAGAGTGGTTTATAAGAGGATAAATCATATGTAATGACTGGGTAGCCAGACTGTATTTTAATGTAACATGCCACAGGGACAAAAGAATTTTGAGGTCAAACATAAGGGGTTAAGTGTGAATGTGTGTTGATTGGTAAGACATAAATCTGCCTCATTCCCATGGTGTCATTGTTACAGCCTCTGGAACTAAGCAATACTACCCATAGTAGAAACAGATGCATCCCAGACTTTTCTGTTCATTTAAAGTATTGGAAAAAGGTGGACAATAAAGCGTCTGTTAAGTCCATTTTCTTATTTATCTTCTCTTTGTTCCTCCAAACCCTGTTGGTTAAATATTACAAGAATAATAAGTAATGTGTACGAAAATACAAATTATTTTTCTGAACTATATTTCTTATGGTATATTCATGATCGAGGGAGAAACTTAAAAATAAATCACCAGTCCTGCACAGTGCAAGTAAAGAGTGTTCAATGTCTCAAATTTTTTCACTTATTTAGAAACCTCTTTAATGTGCAAAATGTATCCGTGCTTTAGAACTGTGGAGCATTGAAATGCACTTACAGAAAATGTAAATCATTAAAGTTTGGATTGGAGTCAAACTCAATTTTTTCCCCCCCTTTTCACTCTACTTCTATAACAAAGATTTTAATTTCTCATACTCTTGGTTCTTATGAATTGTCAGTACAGACTGCGCAAGTGCCCATAAAATATACACATATAGATATGAGATAAGAGTCATGCTAGATTCTGTTACTGGAGATTCTCTTGTATCAATATATATATATATTTTACATTGGATTATATGGTAAATTAGTTACTTAAGATGTGATAATATACTCAAACTAGTTTGAACTCCTAGAAAACCCAAGAAGGACCATTTGGAGTGGAAGACTGTAAAGTCAAAAATAGAACTCCCAAAATATATGAATTAGTTTCCTTATTGGTTGCTGTTTTTGGTGACTTTTGTTCATGCAAATAAGGTCTGTCCATTGGGGCAGCACCAGTTTTTGTTAAATAAAATCAACAAAAACTATACAATGTCTTTTTCCCCCTGTTTTATTTTTAGTTGTTTTTTTTGTGTGTGTAAACTTACATCTTTGATAAATATTTACACACGCTCTTCCCCTCTTTGATGGCATCTAGTGGCTAAACCCTGTATTACATGCCCTATATTTCACTATTGTGTATTCCCTATATATGGGATAGTCCACATATTTTGGAGGCAATAGTGTTAAATAGACACCTTCCTATTCATGATTAAAACATTTATGCAGAGAGGGGACAGTCAAATCCTGACACCCTACCAACTTGAAATATTAACAGCCTCCACTGTGTTCAAGACATGACTTATTTAATGTTACATGTTCTATGTTTTTGTGCACAGACAAAATCCTTACCTGATGTTGTTCTTGCACCTGAACTCTGTGGTGTTTGAAATGGCTGAGAAGCTCCATACATTGGGCCATGAGAATAGGTAGGGCCAGACCAATTGTTAAAATATGGAGACTGGTAAGGTTGAGTTCTAAATGTAATGAAAAAGAAATAAAACATCTGTTAATACATTTCTTTAAAATGAGATGGACACATAACTATATATGAAGGTCAACATTCATAATCCCTAAAAGTTATAATTTTTTTAAATTTATTATTTTTTTTAAATCCCTGGGGGTAGGGCGAGAGAGGATTTAAAAGATACTATACATTTTATTAAACTTAGAAATGCTGGATTAAAGCAGGAGTCAGAAACCCTTTTCCAATAGCTATGTCTTTGCATGGATGTAGCGCCTCATTCATCTATATGGCTAAAATGTAATCTACTAATGATAATAGTAATACTTACAAACACAGGACATGAGCTGATTTCTTAATTTTGATCTATCAGCAGCTTAGTAAATGGCCCACTAATTTGGTTTCCTTATATGGGATTGCCATATATAAGGGTACAATATTTGTTAGCTTTTTACTATACAGCTGAAAGATCAAAATTAAGAAACGCTCTTTTCTTCTTCCCACATCCTTTCATTTTCTCAGACATGTCTTGCATCTTCTCATCTATGTCACCTTTCCCCATGTCCCTTTCTTTCCATTGCATATCACCTCTCTCCAGGTGTCCTTCTCTCCTTATCAATCTCTCTTCTCTAAAGACAGTCCACTTCTATTTCTGGTAGAGTTGCATTATCCCATTTTTAAACAAGGTTATTCCTCTCCCCCCCCCCCTTTTTTTTTTTTTGAAGTGACCCCCTTCTCTCCCATCGCCACCCTTCACTGCCACTTTTATTTTACCTCACGTACACAGACACACACACACACACACACACTCAAACAGACACACACATACAGGGCCGGCCTTAAGGGTGTGTGAGCTGTGCAGCCACACAAGGCACCAGACAGCCGACAAAGTTTGCACATGCATGGGCTGGTCTACATTTGCCCCTTCTGTGTGGTAGTTGCTGGGGCTGGCCACAAAGCATTTTATTAATGGTGCAGTGTAAAATCCGCACAAAAAGGACAATACTTATTAGATGTTAGTTATTGTGCGGGCCAGCGATGCAGTGGCCGAGCTTCAAAAGCTTGAAGCCATTGCACCAACCACGTTATCGATAAGGCTATAGGACATAATTTCATAAGCCCGCATGACTATATCGTGCGGCCGGCAAATTATTGGTAACCGACCAAGATATTAATAAATATTACCTCACTTCATAGTGTCCTTAAACCTCACTGCTTAATCACAAACCTGAGTTTGTGTCAATATTAATTATATCAAGTACTGCTGGACCCTTAGGACTAAGTTGTGATTTAGAACAAATTCATTTTTGTTCTTCCTGTGCATATTTTTACTTCGTCTATACACGCCATAATTCCTTTAATTTTGTAAGGAAGCCAATAGTTGTGATTTAGAGACTTTATTTGATCTAAACATCAATATCTTATCCTTTCTTTATGTTAAATAGATGAGCTCTGTTTTTTGTATTGTATGTACATAATGAACATATTGACCAAGTTAGGGTCCCACATTAGGGATTGCAGGTCCCCATATCTATGGGTTTATTCTGATTGGTATGGTTTTGTCTCCCCATCAGGAATAAGCACAAATGGATGCTCTATATCTTGTACAAGATAATCCTTTGTCATTACATACAACTGTGGGTGGATTATTTGGAGCCCCCACATTGAGGGGTTCATCAATTACCCCATTACAATTTTCGATGGGATCCTGTGAGCAACTACATTCATGGGTAAATTTAGGTTTCAGTCTCCCCTGTAGGGGTTAATTGAATTGGAAGCACACTCTGAAGTCTAAAAGGGGTGTATATTGCCCTATGGTGCCTAACGACACCCCCGATGACGTGTCATCGTTTGATTAGCTGTATCACGTCATTCAATGGGCGGAGCTAAAACCTTCAAATGACCGGCAAGCTCGACTCGACGGGATTACCTTAGACAAAGGTGCCTGTATAGCACCGAAATACGCGCCAGGTAGGATGCTTTAGTTTTTAACTCCGGGACCCCTTAGTATGCCTGCCAGATACTCAGGAGGTACTTAATTTTTCATAAGACCCGCCTTCAGTCTAACCAGGGGGGGGGAGTTACTCCCTCACATCTTTACTAGGCTGCAGTATTTCAGAAAGCAATGGAAACAGCTAGTGAGATGCTCGTTTGTCCCTGGTATGCTGGAATAGAGGAGTCAGTGAATACATACCTAGAGCTGCCTTGAAGCAGCTAGTTTAGTTATCAGGACGTACTGAAGGGTAGTTGCTTGATTTGACTAAGGGAGCAGCCTTTAGTAGGCTGATGTTACTTTGGTGTTAAGGGATCTGAATGGGGATTTGCTTATGTGGTATGCTTGGGTCTAGATTGAACAAACAAACAAACACACACACACACACACACACACACACACTTTTCTATGACCCACTAGCTACCTATACAGTCCCAGATCCTTTTCTTCAATTACTATCTCATTTATTTTACCTGTTGTACACTATTATGCTCTAAGCCAGGGGTCCTCAAACTCCGGTCCCCCAGATGTTGCTGAACTATAACTCCCATGATTCTTTGAACTACATAGATAGCCAGAGAATCATGGGAGTTGTAGTTCAGCAACATCTGGGAGGCCAGAGTTTGAGGACCCCTGCTCTAAGCAATTTATTGCAAGATATTGAGAGGGTGTGTGATCTGTGATAAGGTGGGGGTTGAATTCTATTAGGAGTTTATACCTTCCTATCCCTTTCATGTACCCCACTTCTCTGTGCAAACGCTACTTTTATTTTGTCTAATATTTAAAGGGACACTAGTCAGCCAGACCACTTCAGCTCAATGAAGTGGTCTGGGTGCCAGGTCCCTCAGGTTTTAATCCTTCAGATGCAAACATAGCAGTTTCAGAGAAACTGCTATGTTTACATTTGGGGTTAAGCCAGCCTCTAGTGGCTGTATCCGGACAGCCACTAGAGGCGCATCTGTGACGCTGGAGGCATATTATGCCTCCATCGCACAGAGCGTCCATAGGAAAGCATTGAGAAATGCTTTCCTATTGACAGCTTGAATGTGCGTGCGGCACTTGCTGCGCATGCGCATTCGGCTCCGCTGATGTCGGCGGGGGAGGAGAGGTTAACAGTGCCGAGGGAGCACTGCGCTGGAATAAGGTAAGTAACTGAAGGGGTTTTAACCCCTTCAGTGCCACGGGAGGGGAACCCTGAGGGTGAGGGCTCCCTCAGGGCACTATAGTGTCAGGAAAACTGCTTTGTTTTCCTGACACTATAGTGATCCTTTAACCCCTTAAGGACCAAACTTTTGGAATAAAAGGGAATCATGACATGTCACACATGTCATGTGTCCTTATGGTTCATATCTCTACTCAAGCTGTATTCTGAAAGTATTTATATAATGCTACTTCGTAATACAATGACTACCTTCCAGATAACTTGTATCAATTGTTTTCAAACAAAGTTAACTCCCATTTCTCTACTAGATTGTAACCACTGACTTGAATTTACAGGGTTATATAAGTGGTATCATACTTTGTTATATTTATCCCTATGTAAGGAAGCTAGCAGGCAATTTAGGAGATAGTCACTGAGTGTTTCACTTATTATTTGCGTATTTGTTTTCTCTAATAAAGATTTATTTTTATTAAAAATATTTCATACCGTTTGTATGGATCCCATATGTGGGTAATCAGTTTTGAGGCTTGATTCCATGCTCTTTAAAATGGGATGTTCTCTCAAAATTAGTATTTTTTCATTTTTATAAATTTTGTCCCACGAGACTGTGGATTTAGACTTTCCCTTCAGTCTTGTTTTTTCGACCCTTAGGACTAGCTTATAGAGAGCACTGTTCTATCTTCTAATTTCAACTATTCATTGTGCTAACAGAATAGCCAGCAAATGCATAGATCTTGGTCAAAGTCTAGTAACCATGACAGTACTCCATGTCAGTCATTTCACAGGATATAATTCTGTGCCAATGGAATGAAAATTGGTTGAGGGATTCTGACCGCATAGATCAGAGAATCGCTTAGCTCTGCTGCTCATCAGGCAGTCATGTGGCACAGCCCGGTAGAAAGATTGCACGGGTTAATGTGCAGATCAGTGAATCAGCACTTTGTAGAGAGCTTAGGAATCTGTTAGTCAGGCCCACCTTCACATTGACACAATGTGCAGGGTTTGAAACAAATGAAAATACATAGAGCTCAGATTTGGCAGTGGTGAAGGGCATGGGGGATTTGGCAGAAGTGAAGGGCATGGGGGTGGTGGGGCTGAAAGGCAGATTTCGACACAAATTCTGCGAGTTTGCGATCACTTATCACAGAAAAACTAAAATATGACTGCCTAAAAGAGATGCGAGTGGATGAGCGCACACACACAGCCAAGCCCATGACATTAAAGCCATGCGTTGTATCAATTTGAGGTGGCTAGTAACTAAAGCACACACTCTAGATATCAGACTGAACCACAAGCTGTATACATGACTATAGCTGTGTACATGACTATATGTACAACTATCTTGTCTAATTTCCAGACAATCCCTTTAGTAGAGTGCCAAATGAAAAAGTCTGGCAGCATCTAAGGTGCAAGATGCATATTTTTCTGCTTCATGCCAGTTACTTTGTTTTTTATAAATTGCAAAAAAAACTCGTGTGTAAACTTAACTATTCTCCCTGTTTCAACAGGATGTAAAGGACAATTCCTTCAACAGAGTGCCAAATGTGAAAAAAAATCAATCAGTTTTTCATTAAGCGTACAAAGCTCAGTAATTTCTCACCTCCGATTGCCAAACAAGTATCCAAGTACACCGCCAGTTCCTAAGCCAGTCCAAAAACCTGGCCCTTGGGTGCCACCGCTGCCAAATGTAGAAGTGCCACCTAAACCACCGTAACCTGCTGAAGACCCTAAATGCAGAAAAAGAAAAAATAGTTTAAAAAAAATGGAACACATCAATCGATATTAACGTCTTTAAGGTGCAAGTTCTTTTCACATCACTGGGGAAAAGCCATTTGGTCTTTTTGCCATTACATTGCTCAGTTTTAATATTACTCTTTCATTTAGGGTAGGCACACATATTATACGCTGTGTTTTCTAAAGAGACCACCCAGGCAAAAATCAGACAGTAGCAAAAATACATAATTATTCTCTTTGATGCCAGATGCTTGGTTTTTGTGAAAAAATAAAATTGTATGTAAACAACTCTTCTCCCTTTTTCAACAGGACTGGTTAGGTACATAGAGCTAGGTGTTCCTGTCAAGTATTTTAAGTAGAAAAAAAAAACCAAAAACATAACCAATAATAATTAAAACAATTAGAACAGATTTTGAAATCTGTAGTACTATATTTTAATATACATATACTAATTTATTATTTGCTTTTATACAGATCCAATTTATTCTGCAACACTTTACAAATTTTATAAGCAGGGAAAATGTAACAATAAATAAGAAAATTACAAAATGTTACAGGTACAATAGGTTGATGACTCTGTGATATGTTTTATGCTCTTTAAAACTTTGTGGGTTTTTATTTTCCCCCAGTGATTATTGCTGAGAACAGAACGCTTTCTCAGTTCTAACCTAGGCCCGATAATCCCTAAACAACAATTGCATCAGACTTCCTGTATCATGTAAACAAGCTATTAAAGGATTTATTAATCATACCACTGCATTATAATGTTAGAGCACCCTGAAGTGGTCATTGTTTAGAATTTCAAATACACATTTATATATAGGTGGCAATATTACATTGTACCGGATGTCCATTCTTTGGACATTTGGTAATACGTACTCGCCCAAATTGCCCCATTGGAGAGAAGGACAAGGTCTTGTTATAAAAGACTGAACCCAGAACAAAGAGGGGAGAAAGGAAAATCAAAATACCTGGAATATATACACAAAACTTTCTTTTATCATTCATTGGTATCTTGCCATAAGACCTATAAGGCATTTTTATTGTAACCAACATTTTCTATAATGTTTTCTCTGATTAAATCCTTGTCATTTCTCTGCTACGTGCCAAGTAACAAGATTTCATACCTCATAACACACACTGCTTATTGGCATTCTCTGGATACCATACTGCAAAAACTGCAGTTCAATGCAGTGAGATTCCCCGTTCCCAAAGGATCGTTATAGTATCGCATTTATTATTCCCGATTCTATTTTGGTGTTCTCTAGGCTGATCTGACTAGTGTTGCAATTGAAATAGGGTGTAAGCTTGGTGGGTCATTGCTCCCACAATCTGTTCTCTAGAAGCTGGCCCTAGAGATGTGATTTTTTTTTTTTCTCAGAGACTGAACACATTCAGCAATATTCTATTGATTTTGCCTGGTTTTCTGATGGCCGCGCTAAAATAGATCAAATGTAATTTCCTAAGCAGATAATTATACAACTAATAATTATAACTATAGATGATAATGGAAGTCATACTCAACATTTTTAAATAAAGTGTATTTGTTCTTTTATTTTTATTTAAGAGCTAAATCAGTGCATTACATATAGAGATCTTATATATTTTTACAGAGTCTCCACTCCTTAAAAAAATAAAAAAAATAATCATTAAAAACTCACTTTTTCACAGAAGCATATCAATTAAACTGTTAATAGCTCCAAAACCCTTCTACCAATCTACTTCTCTAATACTACCCTTACCTTTTGTGCCACATTACTCCACTCCCTCTAGCATGTAAGCTCAGTGAGCAGGGCCCTCAATCCCTCTGTTTCTGTGCATCAAACTTGTCTGGTTACAATTACATGTTTGTTAGTTCACCCATTGTAAAGCGCTACATAATTTATTGGCGCTATATAAATAAATAATCTATATATAAAAATATAAATATGTGTTGCATCTACCGATGCCTCTGCCTCCCCCTCCCCGGTAAATAAAGAGTTTAAAAACCCTTTATTTACTTACCTTATCCCAGCGCCAATGTCCCTTAGCGCTGGGTCAAAGCCCGGCCCCCTCAGTCCCACGTTGAGCGGGGTCTAATGCGCATTCTAAATGCTTTCCTATGGGGAAAACAATCTGACGCTTGAGGTCCTCATGCAGAGTGTGAGGACGTCCAGCGTCAGATAAATGACCAAAATCCGTTACAATTCTGGAAGCACCCCCAGTGGCTCTCTGGTAAACAGCCACAGAGGGCAGACTTGGAGCTGCAATGTAAACATTACTTCACTTAGCTGAAGTGGTCTGGGTGCCTACAGTGTCCCTTTAAGCTATACTAATCAGCATAACTCTACACTACATATACTATACTATAATAATTGGTGCTATAGATTTTTTTCAATTCTGAAAATTGTGAAGTCATGTCCTAAAAGTTTTCAATCTATGTGTTATTTGTTTAATATGGTCTCATATTTAGAAATAAATGGTTTGCTCTTTTTTTTTTCTTTATGTATAGAGCTATATAAAGAGATCGGTTTCCTCACTACCTTTCCACACCAAAGCTCGCAGAGTATATATATATATCATACTGCTTCCTCTCAGTGAGGAAATTCAGGATGCATCTCCTTTGTACAATTGTTATAATACTAAAAGCAAGTAGGAGTTAAAAAAAAGAAGGGCTTTGCAAACCTGTGAAGTCGGACTTGAATCCTGGAGGAGGAGGGCTGTAACCAGGAGGTGGAGGGGCTGTTGCATGGGTTTGGTGACCATATCCATACTCATCAGGCTGAGGCTGTTGCGGCATTGCAGGCCCACTAAGGAATAATTTATACACTCCATAAGCAAGCACCAAAATCACAACAATGACGACGGCACTGCTGCCATCACTAGATGAGGGAGAATTCCAGCTTTTCGAATGCCCTTGGAAAAAGCCAGATCCGTGTCCACCAGCACTGTAACTACCATCATTAGATCTCTTCCAGCCTTCCTCAGTGTACTCTAGAGTGTACTCCAAACCACAGGAGCCACTGAGTACATAGGGATCCTCAGGGTAGTCAAAACCCTCACAGTTTACTTCCACTTTTCCAAATCTGTAAGAGTTGTCCATGTCTACCTTGCATTCCCACTAAGAGTTAAAAGAAACATGATTATTTTCCCTGCAAACGTCCACAGAATTGTCTGCTCTGGGGAGTAAGAAGGTAAACATTATTTATAATAGATGACTTATTGGCTACTTTCATTTTTCATCGTATATTTGTAATACAGTAAACACAAAAAAAGTTATCACCATTTGTTTTCCATTTCTGTAGGTTACCAGTGATACCCAAAAATTTCCCACCAACCACATACCTCCTCATATAGGACCAGGACCATCTACATATCCACAGACAGCGATTGGAAAGTCCAGGCGCAGTGATCTGGAGCTGATCCAGAAAAGTGTAATTGCTATCTTTTTTTTATTTGCCATATTTGATACCCTAAAATAATACACTATATTTGGGTTGTGTCCCTTCTATTTTTCATATTGCTCCATTGGAACGAAGGACTTCAGTTGCAAGCGCTGTTTCCCGCCATTGTCATATTTATTCTCATCTACGACCAGGAGGTAGAGACTCAGAAGTTTGGGAAGTTCGAGCTGCTTCCAATCTCTCTTTTTCACATTTGTACCAGTGAAATATGCAGATTTTCATGAGATCTCTTACAATTTACAATAAACATTGAGTTAAAAACAAACAGCAAATTATGTTTACTAGGTAAGCAAAAAGTTAGTAACACATTTATTATGATATCATAGCTATAATTGTCAATATACATCAGAAAACTAGAAATGTAAAAATAAAGAATAATAGTAACAAGAAAGATTCTTAAAGGACCACTACAGGCACCCAGATCACATCAGCTCAATGAAGTGGTCTGGGTGCCAGGTCCCTCTAGTTTTAACCCTGCAGCTGAAAACATAGCAGTTTCAGAGAAACTTCTATGTTTCACTGAGGATTAATCCAGCCTCCAGTGGCTGTCTCACTGACAGTGCTAGAGGCGCTTCCGTGATTCTTACTGTAAAAATCACAATGAGAACTCGCTGACGAGTAAGTGGCTGAAAAGGGTTTCAACCCCTTCAGCCCAGCGGGAGGGGGTGCCCTAATGATCCTATAGTGCCAGAAAAATTAGTTTGTTTTCCTGGCACCATAGTTCTCCTTTAAACTTTCAGACATCCCAGGCCATTTTAGTGCAAGCTGGGATAAAAATAGCTTTCTATGTAACATTTCCACTTGTACTCTGGCCACAAGTGGCTGCAAGGGAGGAGGTAGTTTAAAGAGAAGTGGATGATGAGAGATAGTCCCTAGTGAAGGATGCTGGGGAAAAAATGCTCCCCGCCTGAGAATAACAAAAAGGCAGGGGTCAGGTTTTCAATTTTAAGTCCTATGCTACAAGTCCATAGCAAACTCACTAGGGGTGAAATTCTACTTGCCAGGGCTACAATTTCACTCGCAAATGGCAATTAAACATGCATTTCAGTGACCTTTATCTTTAACATTTGGCAGATTTATCAATTAAATTGCCAGGTACAAGGAGTAAATAAAAGCACCAGAAACATGACAAGAAAAAAAAAAAAAAAAGCCAAGGGTTAGCAAGGGCAGCAGAAAATAGGAAGGCAAGTATAAACCAAGATCAGTAATAGCTATGTCAATACAGCACCAAGCAATGCAAAAGTTCGAAGGATGAAGAAAGAGGGACCCAGAGCTCAAAGGCGGCAAAGCAACCATAGGAAACAGGATATTGTTTGATTCAGACATACTGGATCAAATATGTGATCATCTATATCCTTGGTGCGATCAGATCCTACAGTGATGAACATGCATTCTATTGATGAAAACATGATTAAAATTGAGTCTCCATAAATTACCACGCATATGGAACACGAAGTCAGAAAGTTAAATCACGTTGTTTATATAGCTCTAGTCATACCTCCCTGCATGTGACTCACACAGCCATCTTAAACACTTCCTGTAAAAAGTCATATAATGTTTATACTCTCTTTATTACAAATTCTGTTTAATTTATAATTTCTTATCTCCGGTTAATAGTTTGATAGACCCGGCAGGAGCCTCCTTTAAAGTTCAAATTACAGGGCAAGAGATAAAAACATTGAAAGACATTTGCATTTGATTCAAAGTTAAACAATTTATTAATTTCAATGCAGGCTGTGTCAGTCACTGCCGGGGTAGGTGTGGCTAAGGCTGCATAAGCTGAACCAGAAGTGATTTAACTCCCAAATGGCAGTAAATTAGCAGTGACACTTCAGTGGCATGATCTATACACAAAAATTGCTTCATTAAGCTAAAGTTGTTTTGGTGTCCCTTTAATATGTTTAATAAACTCTAAAAAATACACAGTTGCAAAAAGGCACACCTCTTTCCATTCTGAGTAAAAAGATTTAAAAAAAATGTGTTCATTGTAGTTGATAAAATTAAACTAATGTAGTGGTATGAAGTGATAGGAGCTCTTATTTGTATTTTGAGCATTTGGTTCTAAACAAGGTCTGGAGAAACAAAGAGAGTAGGCAATTTCAACTTTTCAGCTCTAAGTATTAAAATTTGGCATACAGGTCTGATTTCAAGTAGGATTTATTCTGTCTGTCATTCTTCCAATAATACCAACTAACATCTATGGGCCAGGCCATACTTGAAGACTATAGAAACCTAACAATAAACCTCCTGGTCAATTAATTTGCTATAATGATTTCCCATCCTAATGTTACACAATTATTAAGCTTTGGGATCAGAGTCTCTATTTTCCATTGATCCCAGGCCCGGACTGGCCATCAAGGAAACCAGGCAAATGCCCAGTGGGCCACGATGTCCACAGGCCGAGTCCGGCAGGGTAGCACCGGCCCTTACAGGGAAGACAGTCCCTTCAGGGGTTGAAGGTGAGATTCGCAGGCTGGAGTGGGAGAAATGACTCGGACACGCTCTGTGCGTGCCGGGCAGCCTGTCTTCTCGTGACCGCCGCTCTGAAATTCTGGCGCTCGCGAGAGGTAGAAATGGTCTGTACCATGCGGAGGTACAGACCAAATAAATGGAGGGCTGGCCCACCAGGGATCTGTGTGCGGCGTACCAATCTCACTGGACCACCAGGGATCTGCATGCTCCCTCTCCCCTGCAAGGTAATAGGGGGAGGGGGAGGGAGAGTGTGTATGTATGTATATTATATATATATATATATATATATATATATATATATATATATGATTAAGCCACTATCCTACCCCCTATACACACACACACTACATCCCCTTATATACACACAGTACACCCATTTATATACACACACTACCTCCCCTTTGTATACATCCACTACACCCCCTTATATACATGCAGTACACCCCCTGCATCTACAAAAACTACCTAATATAGACACACACTAGACCCCCTTATGTACACACACACACACACAGTACAACCCCCTGAATCTACAAACACTACACTCACTTATATACGCGGTACACCCCTTTACATACATTCTTATATACACCCACACACACCCTTATGTACACCCCTTTATATAAACCTTTATACCCACTACACCTCCTTATACCCACACAGTGCACCCTTTATCTACACCCACTAAACCCCTTTATATACACACACACACAGTACACCCCTTTATATAGACCCTTATATACACCCACTATACCCACTTACATAAACACACACTACAAGTAGCCCTGGAAAAAAACAAATCTTTACCAGCCCCATAATGCATCACGCCAGCATAGTGTGCAGATATGGGAGCGGAAAAACAAAAAACCTTAAAACTGAAAACTATCCCTCAAACGTGAAAGAAAGCACTTATATGGCTTCAAAATAAACAAAAGAGCGGATTTATTGTAAGCAGACGTGCATTTGCATATAATCAATGTTTCAGTCCATTTTCCTGATATATTAATAAAAGTTTGGTCATTTGGACTGAAATTGTGAATGTATGCTATTGCACAGCAGTTAAAAAAAAAAAAAAAAATGATATCTTTTTTTTTTTTTTTAAAGTAAAAAGAGTGTACTCTTCACTTTGGCTTACAACTGGATAAATTTCAGTCAATGCCAAGTCAGTTCCCATAGGAAAGCATTGGGGGGCTATTGCTCGTGTGACAAAATGCTGCGCTTCACCGTACCAATCAGCATCGCCTCATTGGATCTCTATGGGGAGCGATCAGTGCCTCCATACAGAGTGTGCAGCAATGGACTAGGAAGCATCTCTAGTGGCCATCTGAGTGACTGTCACTAGAGATGTGCCTAGGCTGTAATATAGACATTGCCTTTTTTCTGAAAAGGTAGCATTTACAGTGCTCAGCCTACAGAGACAGGCAATAGACACCAGAACCACTACACTAAACTGTTGGCTATAGTGTCCCTTTAATACAACGTCTTTCTCTCACCGGTTGACTCTGAGTTTCAGGGAGAGCAGGAGACACAAGTGAAGATGCATTTTGTTTGTGTCTTTCTCCCCCAAGCCCCTTTAATGTGTCTCTTAGCCCCAGCCCCATTGTTTCTTTCTCCCTTTCCCGAGTCCTTCTGTGAGTCTCTTTCCCAGGTCCCAGCACCTCTATGTGTATCTTTCCCCACAGCTCCTCTGTGTGTCTCATTCTCCCCTTTCCCAGTCCCTCTGTGTGTCTTCCTCAGCTCCTCTGTGTGTCTCCTGTTCCCCTTTCCCAACCCATCTGTCTCTTTCTCCCCATGTGTCTTTTTACTCTCCAGCCCCTCCATGTGTCTCATTCGACCCTCTCCAGTCTTCCATGTGTCCCATTAGATCCTCTCTAGTCTTCCATGTGTCCCATTAGCCCCCCCCCAGCTCTCCCTGTGTCCCATTAGCCCCCCCAGCTCTCCATTTGTCCCATTAGTCCCCCCCAGCTTGGCCACGCTACCTCCTGCCGGCCACCTTTTAATTGTGCCTTGCGGCCCGCGGGCCGGTGCGCACTAGCTGCTAGTATGCCAGCCCACCAGGAAATTTCCCGGTATCCCGGTGGGCCAGTCCGGCCCTGGTACACCCACTGCACTCGCACACACAGTACACAAACTCTATACCTCATAAATATACTGTACACTCCTTGCATTCACAAGCTCTAAACCCTATAAAGACACACTACACCCCTACACTCACACACTCTATACCCCTTGTACACACACCCCCTTATTAACGAGAGGTTATATGACTATAGTGTAGAGTTAAAGGGACACTCCACTGCCAAAAAAAACTAAAATAATAAAAAACAAAAACCGTTTAGTATATATAATCCAACTGAAAACATGTATTTATTTATGTATTTTTTCATTGGCGTAAAATCTAAAAACAACTTGCAAAAGCTGAAGTTCTCTTGTCTGCTTCCTCTGCAATTCCTCCATTTCTAAACAACCCCAGATTTTCTGTAGCAATCTAATCACAGACTTCCCAATGCAGCTCAATGAGAAGTCTTTGCAAAGCAAGTGCACTGAGCAATTGCTGCCTCTTGAAAGCTAACCAAACCAGGAAGTAACAGGACCAGTTGTCGGATTGACAGCCTGGTACAGAGTGCCTCTTTAATGCCATGTGAAATTCACAAGTGATTGAATAATGACAGCAATATACAAAATAATAATTCATGCAAGATATGTTATCTGGAAAATGGAATTCTGTCATGCCAATAGATTATTGTGCCCTCACTTCATACCAATATATACAATCTTAACAAATAGTACAGAAATAGAAAAAGAAAAAGTTACCTGAACGTCAATGCCATCCCAACCTCTGTTATGACACTGTACCACCTGTGGCATCACCTTGCAGCCAGCACTGCCACCAGTGCATTTCAGCTGTGGTACAGGGGATGTGCGGCGGCTATTTGTGTATCGGTCTGAATACAAAGTGATCGCCTGAATATCTCTCAGCAGCACTCGGTCTGCAATGAAACGTACATTGGTATGTGGTCACATCAACAAGCAAACTAATCAATGTATGTGCTATGCATCATTACTCATAAAGTGATAATATTTAACCAATGAAGCTTAAAAGGTTTATAGCACAGATTATACATGTATAAAACATTATACCTCTCTCTAAACATTTCTGAGTCTCTCCACAAATGAACGCCTTGGCCAGTTCTAGGCTATTTATCAATCTTTTCACACAATATTACATTACACTATTATGTGATTTCATTATATTTATATGTGACAGAAATTAGTTCAATTAGACTGTCATGAAGATAAATGAACGTGTGGTGTGGAAATACTGTTGTATGCCAAAGCTAGAGGATCTGTTACATAAGAGTAATCCTTAATATGTTTACACTATTGGGGACATAGTAGCTTTTGCTACTATGCCAAGAACATATCAGTGAACATACCTCCCAAGTGTCCCTCTGTCACTATTTTCTATCCTAATGTCACCCCCCCCACCCGATGCTCCATATTATTTATGTGTCTTAGAGTCTAACAGAGCTCCAGAGCATTAATACTCACAGTCACATGTTTTTAAACAACATGAATGTGTTTAGAAATCTGTCTGTGTAAATACGATATGCTTTTCTTCTCCTAAATTATATTATAGTTCGTAAAAATTGGTTATAGTAAGTCATCTACAATTTCTCGGAACAGGCCTGCCCCCTATCACACCCTGAAAATTAAAGCATCCCTCTTTGTCAATTAGAAATAATGGAAGGTTTGGCAGTGAAGCAAAACAAAGTTAAGAATTAAAAACAAAAAACAATTATTAAACTATATATTAAATATTTAACCTATACATGTGTTTACAGTCTGCCAAGCAATTTCCTATAAAGAGCCACCATGACCTTGTATTACCACCACCACCTCCGTGCCACGCCTTCATACCCTGCTTGTGTTACCACCACCTCCCTGCCATATGTCCATACCCACCTTGTGTTATCACCACCTTCCTGCCATATGTCCATATCCACCTTGTGTTTCCACCATCTCCCTGCCATATGTCCATACCCACCTTGTGTTTCCACCATCTCCCTGCCATATATCCATACCCACCTTGTGTTTCCACCATCTCCCTGCCATATATCCATACCCACCTTGTGTTTCCACCATCTCCCTGCCATATATCCATACCCACCTTGTGTTTCCACCATCTCCCTGCCATATATCCATACCCACCTTGTGTTTCCACCATCTGCCATACCAAGTCCTCATGCCTATCTTGTGTTACCACCTCCCTGCCATATCTCCATGCCCATCTGGTGTTACCACCACCTCCCTGCCATGTCTCCATGCCCATCTTGTGTTACCACCACCTCCCTGCCATGTCTCCATGCCAATCTTGTTTTACCACCACCTCCCTGCCATGTCTCCATGCCAACCTTATTGTTAGCACCACCACCACGCCATATCTGCATACCCACATTGTGTTACCACCACCACCTCCCCTGCCATGTCTCAATACCCATCTTGTATTACCACCACCACCTCCCCTGCCATGTCTCAATACCCATCTTGTATTACCACCACCACCTCCACTGCCATGTCTCCATACCCACCTTGCTGGTTCCAGCAGTGAACCTGAGCCAGTTGCATGATGGAGAGGAGGGCCAAGGCCAGACACATGCCAGCTGCTGCCATCTTCTCAACAGGTGGATGTCTTGATGCTCTTTTGTGTCTCTTGCAAGTAGTCTGTCACTCAGTAAGCCTCTAACCCGCAGGGCTCGCACTCTATCCGCCTTATACCCGCACACGGCTACCTGAGCTCCTTACACCAAGTTACATCAGAATCAGTCAGCAGGGAGCTTGTTGACTTCCGCAATCAAACCTGGCACATTCCTATTGGCTGTTCAGTGACAAGTGGGCGTGGCATACGGGACGCTGTCATCCATGTTAACATACGATTATTAAATAAAGTTTCGTTCGTAAAAAAAAATAAAAAAAAACCCAAAACAAAACACCCGAAACAAAACATTCTATCTAAAGCCTCAGTGGAGGAGCATTTCCGGCGGAAGTAGTTCCTTTGTTGTCATTCGAGGTCTGGTCAGCCGGGCAGTCAGCTGCCTTGTTCATCTCCCATTGTACAGGAAAGTGATCACAGCCGTAAAGAGAAGCCAGAAATCCACCTCATTCATCTCCTGCATTAATAAAGAACACACAGGCACTGACCCCCTGGTTGCTGAACATATATTTAATATATAATAATATTTATTGAGAGACAGTGAGTATTCACAGGATAGTCTCCTGAAGCTGAGCTGGGATAACCATGGCTGGCATCAAAGGTAATTAATAATAGACTTATTACAGTTAATGGCAGTCATTATTAATGGGCTGGGTGAAACTAGCCATTCATCTGTTTGTGGTTTATTAGAAAATTAATATGATGTTATTGTCACAGTAATAAATGGTACAATTCATTTATTTACCAGTTAATAAAAGCAATGACTTATTTTCAGGTTTACTGGTTATTTCAAGCACTATATGCATAGATATTTATTTGCAGATGCATGCCATTAATCTATTTTATATAGAGTACTCTAGCTAGCAGGAAACTGGGATTTGCAGGTGAGAAGTTTTAAAGAATATATGTATCCACACCCAGGTTTATTGAACTCCAATGGTGACTGCTTTCACTTTGCACATGTACAGGGTTGGTGTGAATGAATAATGGAAAGTCATAGGTGATTGCTTTTTACTTCCATGTGCAGCATGTAACCCTTGCATAATATTTTGATATCTCCGTTTCAGATAATCTTCTTGAACAATATTTTACCTAATCTGGTACTCCTTCATGATAGTATGATAACTCCGTAATGCTCTGTATAATCCTTCCGTAATATTCATGTTTTTTTTACTTTTACTTGAAAACTCTTTTACTCATCTACAAAAACTAATGAAAAAAACTGCTAAATAGATTCGAAATTTTGTTCTGAGTTTAAAAATACCCAGTGTTTGCATGCTTTTTTTTTTTTTTGCAAGTTATAGGGCTATAAGTACAAGTAGGATATTGCAGTTTCAAAACATACATTTTTAAAATTTATCAATAGTGACATCGTAACACTATTATCTGTCATAAATCTCTGGAAAACACCCCACATGCATATATTTTTTTTAAAGTAGGCAACCCAGGGTATTCATCTAAGGATATTTTGACACTTTCTATGCAGCCATTTTACCACCAGTCTTTGCCAAACTTCGCCAAGGTAGTTTTTATTTTTCCACATACATTGCAATTCAAGTATAAACTCACAGATCCTGTTATGTGTTGCTGCCAAAAACACACACTAATATATGTTCAGCAACATCTCCTGAGTACAGTGATACCACCCATGCATAGGCTTGTCGGGTTGTTTGGGGGCTAAAAGGCCACATTTGGCAGGTGCGCATATCCATTTTTCAACTTGGAATTTTGACATGTAGTCAACCTGCACACATGTCCTATTTGGGACATTTGTAAGGCCGGCCAATGTATTTTACCCCCACCAAACCAATATTTTTGGAAAGTAGACACCGTAGGGTATTTCAAATGGTGGTATTTTAATACTTTCCATGCACTAATTCTACCACCAGACTTTGTCAAACCTTTAGGTAGTAATTTTTTTGGTGTTTTTTTTTCACACACATTGTACTTTAGGCATGAATTAACAGATCCTATTATGTGACGTTGCCAAACAACACCCCAATATGTGTTCAGCAACATCTCCTGAGTACAGGGATACCACCCATGCATAGGCTTGTTGAGTTGTTTGGGGGCTAAAAGGCCATCGAGACTTGTACATATCAGTTTTTCAACTTGATATATAGGTATGCTTGGCCTCTCTTCAGTTTGGCATATTTTTGCATCCCCCTGTTAATGTTAATATCATGAAAGTTTATATTTTTATAAAGTAGACATTCCAGGGTATTGTATATGGGGTGTTTTCACATCCTTCCCCCAATCATTGTGCTAAACAAATTTCAGAGAGCGTGCATGGTGGTAATTTTTGAATTCTGCTTTTTATGCACACGTCATCTGGTTTTGGCCAGACAGTTGTATGTTACTGCCATAAAACTTTTTTAACCAAATGTGCAGGTATCAAATGCACCTTTAGCAGCATTCTCTAAACTAACTCCTGCAAAAAGAATCTAACTGGAGACTTGGGGGAAGGAAACTGACTAACTAAAATTTGCTGCTTTCAAAAGAAAAAAATAAACAGTTCAAAGGGGCATGTGTCCTTTTCCCTTTTTTATAACAGACCCGGCAACGTTTCTGGGGATTTCTTTTTTTTGGTGTTGGCGGTATCTTAAAAATAAAATGTCTGGACTCCTCTTGTTGTTGGACGTTATTGGAACTTGACCATCTCCATAAATTATTGTGGAAATCAGCTTGAGCTGAAATTGGAGAAAGGTGGTTCTTCCTGGATTCATTTTTTTAAAGAGTAAAAATTAATTATGTGTTGCTACTTGCAACAGGTCGATAGCCACCTTTTTGTACCAGGCTTTTGTCTTTCTTAAGATAAGATATGGCTGCATCAGCTGATCAGCCAAATCAACACCCCCCATTTGCCAGTTATAAGCCCTGACACAAATAGGTTTTGTCTGCACCCTGCCTCGGACAGTGACGTCTGACATGCTTTTGTTATGGATGGTTTTTAGCATGTGAACATCCTTCCTGTCCTTAAATTTTAGCGCAAGCAGTTCAGCTTTGCGCAGAGCTTGCATTCACCTTTTTTTAATTTGGCTTCTATGAGAGGTCTGGGGAAATCCTTGGCATTTCTTCTTACAGTGCCGAAGGCCAGTGTCTGCAAACGATAAAGAATTTTAAACAAGTGGACACTGCTGTAAAAATTGTCCACATAAAGGTAGTAACCCTTATTGAACAAGGGGATCAGTAGGTCCCAAACAAGTTTCCTACTTGTCCCCAGAGAATCAGGACAGCCAGGAGGGTTCAGTTGACCATCTTTCCCCTCATATACACGAAAGGCAAATGTCTAGCCACTTTCGCTCTCACACAGTTTGTACACTTTAATGCCATACCTAGACCGCTTTGAGGGGATATACTGTTTGAACCCTAATCTCCCTTTATATTTCGTAAGGAATAAATCAATAGATAAATTTTGTTGGGGAGTATAAACTTCAGAAAATCTGTTCTGAAGATGGTCTACCAGTGGGCGAATGTTTATTTTTTTATCATATTGGGGATGATCTCTGGGGTGACAGAGGGTATTGTCGTTGAAATGTAAGTATCTCAGCAGCAGCTCATGTCTTGGTCTAGGCATTGTTTGGGAGTATATAGGAGTTGAACAAATTGGGTTGGTGCTCCAGTAATTGATGGCTTCTTTATTATCCCCTTGAGCATTGTAAGAGCCCAGAATTTTTTAAGTTCAGGGACATCTGTGCGATGCCAAGCATGCTCCCTGACTGTATAGCTACCTGGATTGGTCTCAGTAAATTGGCTAGCGTATAAATTAGTCTGGGAAACAATTTCCTCCCACATGGTATCCCCTTAAAATAATTCCATATATTGTATAGGGGAGAAGTCAACCACATTCACATTAATGCCTGCGTTGGCACTAAAAGGGTGGATGTTGGGCTCAGTTGACTGTGGAGGTACCAGTCCTTCTCCACATTCGGCGTAGCAGGGAAAGCACTGCTTCTTTTAGCAGCTGGTTCACACACAGATGACATGTCACTAGACGTGTAGCTAAAATGACTTGGGTCAAAATCGGATGCAGTGTCAGTGGCGTCAGAGTCTGACGCCAAGAAGGCATATGCCTCCTTCAAACTGTACATGCGCTGCATGTTTCACACTAACAGACTAAACTAACAAAATTAACTAAACACAAATTTATTTATTTTTAATATATTTTATTTTTTATTTTTTTACTAAAACAGACTAAAACAGTAATCCCTAAACTAACTCCTGTTAAAAGAATCTAATGGAGATTTGGGGGACAAGACAAACTAACTAAGACAGACAACAATATATCACGATCTCTGGCTCTGTCGCCTCACAAAACGCAACAAAGGAGAGAGAGGCAGAGATCAGTGTCAAAGTGAGTGTTTGTAACACCCACTTTGACATCAGCCAATTGTGAGCGATCGCGGATCGCTCACACGCCGCAATTGGCTGTTACTATCTGCCTGGGATGCCTGGCAGATAGTAACAACGGGATTTCGGCGGAAGTGATCTCTGATCACTCCCGCCGCCCGTTTTCCGTTAGGACGGTTCAGGACCGTCCTCGGTCAGCAACGCAAAAATGCCTGAAGGGGTTAACACAGTTTAATGAAATAAGAACAATAGTGTTTTTTTTCAATTTACTTTTCAATTTTTTGGTTTTAGTTCCAGTGTAAGGACAGCTCTCTGAAGCTGCATTTGCATCAGTTGAAGTTATCTGTTCTGAATAATTATGTCTCATCCAGTTCTTCTCATAGAGAAGCAGGATATATAGCACATGTGCAACTTTTGTCATGCGTTAGATGTGTTCCACATCATTATACTATGTGTGATAACATCAAACCTTCAGTGAGAAGGCCTTTAAACTAAAATCACTTCTTAAAGGGACATTATAGGCACCCAGACCACTTGAGGACAGCTGTGCACGAGGACATCCAGTGTTTACACATCTACCACAGGAAAGCATTAATTCAGTGCCTTCCTGTGGGGAAGACTTAAAGAGACACTATAGGCACCCAGACCACTTCAGCTCATTGAAGTGGTCTGGTTACAGTGTCCCTATTGCACTTAGTGCTGCAAAGTAAAACATTGCAGTTCCAGAGAAACTGCAATGCTTAAACTGCAGTACTAGCTCTGGTAACTGACGCTGGACGTCCTCAAGCTCTGCATGAGGACATCCAGCGTCAGCTATTTCCCCATAGGAAAATATTGATTCAATGCTTTCCTATGTGGAAAGCCTAATGCTTGTGCGGCACTTGCCACACATGCGTATTAGCGCACTCTTTTCAGTAACATAGGAGGAGGCGGTGCCACGACCGAGGGACATTGGTGCTGGGATTAGCTAAGTGAAGAAAGTGTTTTTAACCCTTTATTAACATTGGCAGGGGGGAGGCAGAGTGAGCCGTAGTGCCAGGAATACACCTTTGTAGTCCTGGCACTATAGTATCCCTTTAATGCGCATGCCAGGCATGTGTATTAGTTTCCCCCTCGGGGCGGACTTCGATGCTGTAATAAGCAAAGTGAATTCAACGATTTTTAACCCATTTAGTGCTAGGGGCTGGGCAGAGGAACACTTTAGTATTGGTAATACAGCTTTGTATTCCTAACATTAATCTGTTTTGTTTTGTAAACTATTTGCTGTTATGTCCCCACTATATAATTAAAAATCACTGAGGAGTAATTTGAAGCTTTTATAAATGTTAATAATGATGAGAGATGATTGGAATTGCTGAGTAGTGGAAACCACAGGGATAGATGTTTGTAATACAGGAATTGTCCATAACCACATTCCATCACCCATTCTTCTGAGCCAGTCAAGCAGAAGTCATTAGCTAACATGCCCCAAGTACTTAAATTTGTTATTTTTTTTTAGTAGTTATTAGTATGCGTGTGATTGAGCTAGTTTTTTTCATTTCTTATTGTTTATTTTCATTTAAACTAGTGTTTTTTGCAGTGCTTTAAAATTTTTACATTGGTTGTTATGGTGCTTAGAGTGCCCACTATGCCATTTATGACCACACTTGCTTAACAGTTTGTAAATTACGCCAGTACAAAACAATGCAATATAAATTGGGTTACTCTTAGTACCATAACTGTTCTAAGCTTGTTATACTGTCCATAAATTTGCAATTCCCTGGTAAATTTTCAACAAATTGCACTTTATTAAATAATCCTGCGAATGTACTCTCTAATGTCAAGGTAATTGTATTAAGAACTTCAGTTTCTATGGAGTGTAACTTTATATATACTTTTGTTTTTTTGTTTAAAAGAAAGAAAAAATGGTCAGCTGACAGTCCAGTGATAAGCTCCTGATCCGGATCAGTTGTTTTTCATTCATCACTTTGTATTTGAACACTACCATTGATGCTACAGTCTTGCATTATAAATAAATATTTTATGAATTTTAAACAACTTTGTAGTGAACACTGAATTAAGGTGGCTGGATTCACCATTTTTCCTGGACAGGTATCAGCTATTTACACAACATTAAAACCAGTGACATGTGAAGCGAATAACATTTGGCATCTGTCAAGGGGTATGATATATATATATATTTTTTTTTTTTAAAGTGACAATCCGTGTGAACACAGTGAAAATATGAAGAGGGGTGAGATATATTGGGCAGCAAATTAAGAGTCAGTTCTTGAATTTCTTGTGTCGAATGGATGACTACTTACTCTGGGAGGGGGTTCTGGCACCATAACCACTACACAGATGTAGTGGTTATTGTGCATGGATTATTTATTTAAATAATCTACAAGTGCCCCTCCCGAAATCAGGCTCTGGATCCGCCACTGCTTCCTCCAAGCACGTATGAACTGGAATCTGCCCTGGAGTAGAGCAACGCACAGCAGCTATCACAGTTCCTGTCCTTGACTGGTACCTTAAATATAATAAGAACAGAAAAAAGGTGCGCTAAAAATTTAAAGTGCAAATTCATCTAGCAGCATCAACTGTGTAAAATAAACTGCAATCTACCATTTCATTCGCAAGTGATGAGGTGTATACAAACAATCAGCACATATGTGATCTAGAAGTGAAAAATGCAAAAACCCCTTCAAAGTGATGTGGTGCATAAATTAATTTTAACTTTATATCTGAGGTAAGTCACAGCTCCAATTGAAATAAATAGAAAAGGATAAAAAAACATATATAGTATAATATTGCAGGGTAAAGAGTACTAAATTAATGGTAAGATAAGAAATTCACTCACAAACCTAGATCTTCCTTTAGTAGCCCAAATATATATAGAGACTTCCACTGTAGCCATTAAGGATAAATGGACATTTATTTCACATTTGTCACCGGATCCTTAGTAGCGCCAGTCCTGCCTTGAGTCCGTGTATCCGCCGACTAAAGTAGATTGCACTTTATTTTACACAGTTGATGCTACTAGATGAACTTGCACTTTAAATTTGAGTGCACTTTTTTCTGTTCTTATTATATTTAAGTGTTTTTGGGCTTTGAAATTATAAGCGCCAATTTTTCACTTGTTTATTGTATTTCCATCTTGACCTCTACCTTGCCAGCCTGGTCCTAACTGGACCCATGGAAGCCACTCACACTGCTAGATTAACACAGAGCTGCAAATTAAGCCTCCTCTCCAAACAAATAATTCAAACAGTCCAAACAAACACAACACCATTGACAGTCCACATAGAAGCTCACAATCCCACAAGCAGCCCCACACATACACACACCACCAAACACACAATGTGATATGTCATCAACACACGCAAACTACTCATACATATACAATATAACAGCCCACATATACATATTTACACAGCAACTACAGAACCCATAAATGATACAAGCAGAATATTTCAACATACACACCTCAATTAAAAAAAAAAAAAAAAGGGACCGGCACACCAAGGAACTTCAGGATCTTTTTTGGCACAATACCTCTAAAAGGTTACCTACCCTTGTGCTAGAGCAACAAATCCGATCCATAGAGGCTTCACCTCGCAACTTGCAAGACTTACGGGATCTGCTGCTAATGTCTTGGTGCCACATGACCCTTTCAGAGATATTGTGGAGTCCATGCCTAAACACTCAGAGATGTTTTGGTATCACTAGGGAGGCTTACACAATAAGAATCAGGTGGTTTTAAAGTTGTGGCTGATCGGTGTATGTGTGTGTATAACTGGACTGTGTGGAAATACAGGGTTGAATGTGTGAAGGGACACTGTATGCATTCAGGACTGTGTATATGTGTATGAGAAGTGACAGAGTGGGAAAACATGTCTGTGTATATATATATATATATATATATATATATATATATATACATATACATGCAGGCACACAGGGTTAATCATTATAATTGGTATTGTCTGGAATTAATGACAATTCTTACTTTAGTAGATAACTCAAAAGTTGTGTGAATACAGGGGTGTATATGAGTGTGTGAAGGGAACATGAATATGTAGGATGTATGTGTGCAAAGGGACATTTGGGAATGCAGTGTGAATGTGTATGAGGGGGTCAGTGTCTGGAAATGCATGGGTGTGTTTGCACACTTTTCTCTAGCCATATTACTTACCTTCTTCCTAGAAATAAAGAGAAATTTTATGACCTGCTACGGACAAGTGGCATTTGCAGGAAGAGGGGGCAATGACATTTCACTGATCCTGGCAATTTCTTTGTGTGTAGTTCATAAATAGAATTCTGTTTGACCCTTAGTGTGAATCTCTTTCAATATTGTTTGACCCCACTCTTTGGAGACTCTGCTCACCTAACTGTTTGAGGGTCAAAGGGGGATATTGATGTCAAACAGAAAATTGAGGTGAAGAGAGTAGATCTTACCATGGAAATCAATGAAATCCGCAGTAACATTTTATTTTTTTTCCACAGTGACTGCTCTATTTTTAAAAGTTCGTCCCACTTTTCTGTCAGCATTTTTACATATTTCACCAAAAGATATTCAGAGTCAGAATTAAGATTAGTTATCAAGGTAGCAATGTCCTGGCCCTTAAGACGTAATTAACGGTCAATATCGAAGGCAGGAAACCATAACCTTGCAACTTTTCTACCCAGTTATAGATGAAAATATAGCATTCTTTACATCTCATTACTTATGATGTTAACATGAATTTCTGTATTAATCTGTACCATTTGGTTTTTCACTTAGCCCTGATTAGCCTTTCGTTCGGCGGAGCAATTGGACTGATGTTTCTAATGCTTGGATGTGCCTTGCCACAATATAAGTAAGACTCTGTGTGTGTGTGTCTTTTTAAAGATATCTTCAATATCTACATACTTGGTTAACTATATGAACCCTAATGTAATCAATATGTGTTATTTAATTTAGTGTCACATTTGTTGACCTATAATTTCTTCTCCTGCAGCATGTACTGGCCACTGTTTGTTCTATTCTTCTACATCCTTGCACCCATTCCATACTGCATAGCAAAGAGGGCTGTAGATGAGACTGATGCAGCTAGCAATGCCTGCAAGGAACTTGCAATTTTCCTCACCACTGGTATAGTTGTCTCTGCGTTTGGACTGCCCATGGTGTTTGCTCGAGCAGGACTAGTAAGTAAAGTTCCTTATACGAAACTAATGAAGTTTGCAGAACTCTGCATATCTTTAATGATTCTGTCACCAAACATATGGTCTATGACATCATTTGCTGACATATTACCCTTCTTTATTATCTTAAACTATATTCTCTGTCTGTCTATATATTTATAACATTTCCTGGATTATATGTAGTGCGCTTGTTTAATTCAAAACTGGGTGATTAAAGGAACGCCATAGTCTCAGGAATACAAACATGTGTTCCTGACACTAGAGTTCCAATAGTGCCATTTGAGGTGGCCTGCCCCGCTCCCCTGCAGTAAAAAGATGATTTGCTCACCTTTTTTCCAATGCTGTGCGGGTCTTCTCGTGGCTCGCACCTCTTCCTTGGCTGAGATCATCATAGTTAATGATCTCAGCCAATCCAATTCTTTCTCACTGCTTTACTCCTAGGGATGCATTGAAAAAGCATAGTTTACTTTTAAAAAGCTTGCAAAAAAAAAAGTGTAGACACCAGTACAACTGCATTAAGATGTGGTTGTTCTGGTGACTATAGTGTCCCTTTTAAAGGAAAACCTGAAGGTCTAACCAAAGATCATATTGTGCTCTCATTTTCATCTTCTTACCTTATGTCTACTCTCTCCTGTGTATTCACTAAGTCTCCTCCACTATAACACAAATATATTTAAAATGCACTTCCGTTATGCTTACCATATATAGACCCATTTATAAATGAAAATATAGCATTCTGGCTACTGTATGTGTACATACAACTAACCATCACAAAACCTGATCCTGACATTTAGTAAACTGAATCAAGCAAGATATAGCCTACAGTAAATTCTATGTGGTGTATTTCTCTCTTTGTTGAAATACATACCCCTCAGTTCTCATATTTGCTAAAGCCAATTCTGGTTTGAATTCAGTCTTCCTGGCTGGATCTTCACAAGTCGGCTGGATGCATCTGGTGTCTGGTTTAAGATCCGTGCTTTCCCATTTGAACCCTATATACAACATATAAGATATGGAATATTTACAGAGCAGTGGTTAAAGAAAAAACACTATAACCTGATGGAGCTATTGGAAAAAATTAAATAACAGAACTTTTAATGGTAGCAAAAAAGACTTGAACAAGTCTATTCTGTGCATTATTATAGAGATTCTGTCTATTCAACGTTTAATAGACATGCCACCACACACAGCATGGTGGGCAGGTGCTAAACGAGATTTGAAACCTCCCAACCGCCACATGAGTAACCCTTGCTCTGTTGATTATTTTTTTTTAATATAATTTGCCTGCTTGAAACATGCATTGCCAGCTGGCAAATAGATTAATTTCTTAAAATTATCCTGCAGCTTTTGTTTCATCTGAAATCCAGACCAAATTTAGGCTTATTCAAGGCCTGCTGGGTAAAATCCAGATATTGGTAACAACTATGAACAATGTCTGGAAGTTGCAGTTTTATTGGTCCTGTTCGAATAGTTTTTCCCCCCACATTCAGTAAAAAGTTATTTAGACTTTACTGAAAAATAATGTTACTGCTACTATGTCAGTTTGTTATTCCTGATGCTGAACACTAGAGGTCAGCATACTCATTACATATTTGGGATTGGAAAAAATATGCTTTGTGCAAATATGCTTTGTGCACCAAACACTAGTGCTACTACCATTTATTTGAAGGACACATAAAACAAACATTTTGGGGTAATCCCTTTCTCAATGCATTATGTCTTTCCCCCATACAAAGCACTCACCAGCTTGAATAGTGAAATACAAACTATTAGAAAAATCCATACCCACCGCCCTCTGCCCAAAGTGGAGGTGTGAGATCATCCTGGCATCTGGTTGCCATCTTACCACGTCTCCCTGCATGCTGCGGTGATCACATGGTGCATGTGGACGTCGTACCTAATGGCATCACATAGCTAGGTAACAGTAAACAAAGAAATCTTCTGGCCATTCGGAACATTTTAAGCAGGCTTAATGAGCAATATAATTTCTACAGAAAAGGAGAATCAAGGCTGGATACATATTACAAGCTAAGAAAAAATAAAAACAGGGAACCGAAAATGCCTAAGGTGAAGCCACGGGGCTTCCACATCCAGGTAGTGTGTTAGACAAAGATAATGCATAAAATACAAAGAAAGTGCAGACCAACAAACTAATATTTACAAATATATGTACTTTCACACACAAACATATTTACCCCCTGGTATGCAACATATAACCAGGAAATGTGCAAATGACAACTCAATCATTCATGATGGTTGGGACTAAAAGGAAACCCTCCAACAGGGAAAGAACAGATGGCAAATAGTAAGGCCTTGAAGGTACAGAGGCTATATAAATTTATGCTGTTCTCCTACACTCTGACTCTTTCCTCTGCAAAAAGAAATTACTTCAATACCCTTATAACCACACTCTCCTGCGAACCCAAACAATTACTTCAAAGTTTTAATGCTCTCCTTTGCCCTGTTGCTCCCCCTCCTCCTACCCCCCGTCCGCCTCAAACTTTGCAACTCACTTCACTGAGAAGATTTCTACAATCATGGAAAAGATCTATAACCTCCCTCCCTTCCAATACATCACCCAACCCCACTCCCTCTGCTGTTCTATGCTCATTTGCACCTACCACAACAGAAGAGGTTTCTGCTCTGCTCCGGTCCTCCCGCCCCACCACCTGTTCCCTCAATCCTATTCCCTCATATCTCCTCCACACTCGGTCTCCCTCTCTTGCTCTTCCTCTCACTAAAGGTTTTAATCTCTCCCTTTCCTCCGGCACATTTCCTTCACCCTTCACGCATGCAACCATAACACCAATTCTGGAAAAAGCCCAACCTTGACCCCAACCCCCCATCTAACTACCGCCCTATATCGCTACTGCCGTTTGCCTCCAAGATCCTTGAGAGAGTTGTGTATGCGAGATTGACAGACTTCCTCGTATCCAACTCTCTGCTTGACCCACTTCAGTCTGGATTCTGCGCTCGTCACTCAGCTGTGACCAAAGTATCCAACAATTTAATCACTGCTAAATCTCATGGCCATTACTCTATCCTAATGCTCCTTGATCTTTCTGCTGCCTTTGACACTGTTGATCATCAACAGCTTCCTCTCATTCTCCGTAATCTCGTCTATGGGATACTGCTCTCTTCTGGTGCTCCTCCTACCTCTCCCAGCTCTTTTTCAGTGTATCTTTCTCTGGTTCTGCCCCTTCTCCCCAACCCCTCTCTGTTGGCGTTCCCCAAGGTTCTGTCCTTGCTCCCCTACTGTTCTCTATCTATACTGCCTCCCTTGGTAAACTCATCAGCTCCTTTGGCTTCCATTATCATTTATATGCAGATGACAGGCAAATCTACCTGTCCTCTCCTGATCTTTCTCCACCCATTTTGACTCGTGTCTCTGACTGCCTCTCCGCGATTTCCAACTAGATGGCTGCTCACTTCCTTAAACTCAACCAAAACAGAACTTTTGGTCTTTCCTTTCTCAAGTGTTGCTACTCCAGTGTCGGTCTCCCTCCAAATCAACGGCGTCACCATCACCTCTACCTCGCAGGCTAGCTGCCTAGGTGTTCTCTTTGACCTTGACCTCTACTTCACTTCTCATTTGGCGATTGCCAAATCCTGCTACTTCCATCTCAAAAACATAGCTCGCATCCGCCCTTATTTAACACCAGCCGCGGCTAAGGTGCTGGTCCATGCCATTGTTCTTTTTCGCCTTGACTACTGCAATCTCCTCAGTGGTGTCTTATGTTTTCCCAGATTGCACCGCTGCAATCTATAATGAATGCGGCGGCAAGGCTCATTTTCCTGTCCGTCCACACCTACCACGCCCCCCCCCTCTGTCAGTCCCTACGTTGGCTTCCAGTTAGATATAGGGCTCAATTTAAGATTCTGGTGTTTGCTTACAAGTCCCTACATAATGCTGCTCCTAACTACCTATCCTCCCTAATACACAAATATGTCCCGTCGAGGCCCCTGCGCTCCGCCGAAGACCTATGCCTATCCTCTGTCCGTACTCCAACATCTGATGCTCGCCTCTTCTTCTCCAGGGCTGCACCTTTTCTGTGGAACTCCCTTCCCTTCTCCGTTAGACTTTCACCCAATCTCCACTCCTTCAAAAAATCAGAATGGCCCTTATCCACTCTGTTCCTTTGCGTCCATTTGTCTGGTTACAATTACTCGTCTGTTAGTCCACCCATTGTAGAGTGCTACGGAATTAGCGCTATATAAATAATAAAATAATATACCAATCTTATAAAAGCAAGTATTTGCTGTGCATCACAGTAAATATAAACTTATACAAAAGAATTTAATAGGAACAATACTGTAATACTTACAAGACTCGCCATCCAGTGTGCAAAGTGACATACCTACAGGAACCAGTGCCACTCAAGCTTCATGTTATGGCTATGTGGGGCCACTGTATCCAGCAGGTACGCCCAATGAGCTTACATCTGTAAGTAAATCTATTCCCTATTCCCCCCTCTAGTCAGAGGAGATACCCTTTCTAGGACCTGATATCTTTCTGTGATACATTTTGTCGCATTTCTCTAAAGCGTCTAACTACAGGTGTGTCTGGGACTACATGTGGATGTTTTGTGCTGGGACACACAGTCTTTCTGAGCATGTATGGTTTTGCCCACAGAGTCTAAGCCACATGGGCATTTCAGTAGGTAGACCATAAATTCTGTTTGGCAAGTAAAGAATCCTTAAAATGTTATCTAGCCTGTCCTGGTGTGTGTGCAATATTCCCTTTTAATGATCCCACTGCAGCAGTTACAGGAGAGGCATGGATAGGTGCCATAGACCAGTTTAGATAAATAAAGCGGTTTACTAGGTGTGTAATTGTCTGCCTTGACAACCATATTACGTATTGTACGTCCCTTTTTGTGTGCAGAAAGTGGAGGTTCTTTGAGTAAGTGGCCAATCTGCTTGTCCAATTGTAAAATATACAAATTTTTTACCGACATGTCCTAAATTTGAGAGGAACAGGGAGAGTAAATACTTACGTACGGAATTCTATTGGATTTGGTTCTATGTGTAGGGGAGAATAAGTCTTCTCTTCTCATGGCTTTCACTTTTTGTTTGGAGACCTGAAAAAGGTGTGAACTGTAGCATTTTTTTTTAAGTGAATTTGTTTTACATCTTTGTAAGACGTGTATCCACCAGTGTCTCATTGCTAACAATTCTGCACATCTTGAGTAGTTCACTGTATGGAATAGAACAAAGCTGTTTAGAAGGATGAAAGCTGTAAGCATGGAACAAACTGTTAGAGTCCATGGGTTTTGTGAATAAATCAGTAGTCAACCAGTCAGTAGATTTTCCCACTAGGTCATCCAAAAAACTGACAGTCTGCATGCTGATATCCGTAGTAAACCTAATCTATTGATAAAGGGATTTCCCTGAATATTGTACATAGTGGCTGATTTCAATCTATGAGCTGAGAGTTTCAGCAACTGCTTGTGTACAGATTGGCTGCACGAAAAAATGTTTGCGAGTGGGCGGCCTTTTGGGGCACATACACTGGCCCGTTGGGTTGGGGGGCTGATCAGTTGCTTGAGGTACTGAATCGGTGGTGCAGAGGGTACATGGGAATATGTTGCACAGTACAAACAATGTAATGTGATTTGTTAATCTCCATGCAAGAAACCTGTTTACTTCTGTTTCGACCAATATTTTCTTTATACCTTCCCTGGACACAGCTATCAAATGTAACTTGCTCAAGTTACTGATAAAAACTATGCGTGGACATGTGAGTTTCCTGTTGCTCTGTTTTTTTTTTATTTACATGTGAATGGTCCTTGAGGACCTGAGAAGTACATCTGAGTTGGGGACCTGCATGTCTTATTGTGATAAATTTTCACAACAATATGAAAAATAAAAAAAAAATGATATTTACAAAAAAAAAAAAAACTATTTTATAGCAAGGGCAAATGAATAATAATAAAAAAATAAAATATATATATGTATGTGTGCGTATATATGTATATGTGTGTGTATGTATGTATGTGTGTGTATATATATATATATATGTGTGTGTGTGTGTGTGTGTGTGTGTGTGTGTGTATATATATATATATATATATATATATATATATATATATATATTATGTGATCCCAAGTAAATATTGTGGAAAAACACATTTATAACGCGGAGTGTGGGTGTTACAGGAGCTTCTTACTTTTAAGGCTGATGTAGTCAGTCTGCCACTATGTTAGCCATTTTTAGCTACACTGTACTAAATGAAAACGTTCTGTTGGACTGATTTAAGGTTTCACATGCAGTCAGTGAGCTTTGGTTAATTTTACTTTACTCTAGAAATTTTAATTTATTTTTTAATCCTTTAAAAAAATAAAAATAAAAAATATGTTTTGTTTTCTTCGAAAGAGCAATTTTCAACAGTTTTTGGTTCCCCTCTAAATGTCTACTCATTTTTCTGTTCACAGATTCTTTGGGGAGCTTGTGCATTGGTCCTCACGGGAAATGCTGTCATCTTTTCCACTATATTAGGATTCTTTTTGGTCTTCGGAAGCAATGATGACTTCAGTTGGCAGCAGTGGTGAGGAGCAATCCCCATTTGGCTTTAGGTTGGCAGTCCGTATGGCCTCCAGTGACCATCTATTCAGCCATCGAAACTGACAGAAAGCAGGAATAACTCTAGCTTCACCCTGGAACTAGCATGTGGATTGTCACATTTTTTAGCCGTGCTTTCGCCATGGACTTGCTAAATTGCTTACCAGGAAAAGCGCTTTAACCAAGAAAAAATCCTTCTTCCTTGATATCTTTTTCTAGCTATTCGTTTGTTATTTTATATATTCTCATATGTATTGTCTTAGTGATAGGTTCTTGAACCATCTTTTTCTTCCCCCCTCATATCCTTCCGCATTAGCCATCCTTAATGAAAGTGGACTTGATATTAATGCAGTTCATTTGTAGCATGAGGTTACTGCCTCAATTCTGTAACTGGTGGACACTGGGGAAAATTCCAGAGAAATAGAAACCTTTTAATATTATACATGCTTAGATGCTTCAACATTTTAGTTAATTAGCCATGAAAATGAATGTTTATTTATGGTTTATTTGTCTGGTCTGCACTTTTGTTTTTATATGAGAGATGACTTGCATGTACTGTGTAAATATATACCTATTTTTTTTGTCTGCTGAAAAAAATACCAGATTATTCAGTTAAGTGATTAAAGCAGCACTGTCTTTAAAATGTTTGTCCCATAAGTTCAAAACCATATAAACTATAGAATGATTGCATTTCTGGCTTACCAGACTATAGTAAACGTACCTATATTTATCACTTGAGAGTAATTTTTTTTTTTTTTTTGGTTGAGTTGGTCATCATGGCATTTCATGCTGTTTTTCAATTCCTCAGTGCTAGGTACCAACTTAATTTAAAAAAAATAAAAATAAATAATCTTCAGTGTATGTGTTGTCAGCAGCCAGTTGTCTGTCTGCTGAGTGGCATTACTGGACAGTAGAGCAGGTTGATATTCTTTTAATTGATGCTTTGTTCCTATTATCCCCAGGGTTGGTTAGAAATACTTTGTTCGACTGACAAACCTATTTAAGCATAAACCGTATAACTGCAAGGCGATCATTTTTGATGATGGTGCATTTTTTACGTTACACGTTTGACATCAAATAAACCTTCCCACCAAATGGACAGCTTTAAATTACTGACATGCTAAAAGAGTAAATAAGGGTATACAGAGAAAAAACTGACAAGACAATGGAAGCACCAAAACAGGTTAAGCTTAAATGTGATTATGCAATGCAAAATAAAAAAAACTTCCTAGTATAACAGCATTTCAACATTTACTACTGATTAACCGTAATGAAACCATGATGTCATTGGTTCAGTTTTGTGCATAAGCATCTTGCAGATGAAGATGCTCCAGAATGGGTTGGTTTGGCTTTTTTTTTTTTTCAACGTAAGTATACATAGATATTTCAGCCATTGACTTTCATTTTCTCCCATTCTTGTTTATGGGGATCTAACAGGCAAATATTAGTGCATAGCTCTATGCATGCTACAGAATGTAGGTAACATTAGAGAGGCAGAGGGAAAACTAAAGATAGGAGGAAAAATCTCCTGCTTTTACTCCTTTACTACAATGCATATTTTTTGTTTGGGGTGCCACTTTAGTGTCAGAACACCGACTATGCCATCCTGAATTCATATATCATATAAGATAAACACTAATATTATACTCACAGTACAGGATATTTTCTATGTTGCTGAAATATACAGATACACTCTGTCTCAAAGTAAACCTTTGGTCACGGCAGTCATTTTAAAGTGAATATTATGAAAAAAATAATAATTTGTTGTAATCTGTATTTCTGTTCTGGGGAATATAAACTGCTCTGTAAGGTTTTGGAGAGAAAGTGTAGCATATTGAATAAAAGAAGTCACATACTTTGAGTACTGGTGAAACCTAGTGGAATATAAGATAAACAAGGACACTATAAGTTTTAAGTTGTGATATTGTTTTAGGGGTCTTGAGTTGTGTGTTAGGCATCCTAAACCGCTGCAGATATGTTCTTGTTTTTTGTAAACCTTGTTTCCTGTCTATTTAGTAACTTGTCTGTTATTCCGATCGTTGTGACTAGACAATTTTTGCAAAAATACCAGAACCACAATGAGATTTTAGTGGGGAATTAAAAACAGAGACCAGGGATTAAAGGAAATTTATTTATGTTTATGTCCCACTTTATTTCTTCTGATGTAAATTTCAAGGTGAAAAAGGGGTGCATAGGTACGCTGACATCAGTCTGTTCTATTCAAAACTGAATATATATCCACCTTGCCATCTTTAAAACTTGTTTTGCACTGCCTAAAAGAATACTCCAGATGCCTTTTTTTTAAAATTATTAATCTTGTTAAATGTGTTTTGTTTTATGTATCCTTAAAGGATCACTATAGGGTCAGGAACACAAACATGTTTTCCTGACCCTATAGTGTTAACACCACCATCTGGCCCCCTTGGGCCCCTCATGCCTCCATAAATATAGTAAAAATCTTACTGTATTCAATCCTGAAGCTGTAAATCTGCATGCTGTTAGACTCAGAAAAACAAGCAGTCTGCTGACATGTGGTAGCCTGATCCAATCACAGTGCTTCCCCATAGGATAGGCTGAGACTGACAAAGAGGCAGATCAGGGGCAGAGCCAGTATGATTCAAACACAGCCCTGGCCAATCAGCATCTCCTCATAGAGATTAATTGAATCAATGAATCTCTATGAGGAAAGTTCAGTGTCGGCGAGGATATACTGAATCACAGGATGCTGTGCACAGTGCTGCCCTGTGCTCTGCTGACAGCAGATCTGAGTGGATAGAGGCATATTATGTATTTTCTCAGAAAATACAGTGTTTACATGTGAAAGGCTGCAGGGAGCTATAGTTCTCACCTGAACAACCTCATTAAGCTGAAGTTGTTCAGGTGAGTATAGTGTACCTTTAAGCCCACCCTTTCTACCCTCCACCCCAACCGTGCGTTTCACCAAAAGTATACCTGATCATATGAATTATGTTTCTGAGAGTTGTATTTCAACTGTTACCTTTCTACAGTGAATGCTTACAATTGAATTATTCATAGAATCCTAAACAGTGTCCATAAAACTCTAAATGGATGAACCCAACAGTGCTATAAAAAGTTGAGCTTCCATGGCTGAATCATTGGCTGGTTTGATGAGAGCTCATTGCAGAATATTTGTAATTTTTATTTGCAAATTTCAGGCATTTAAAGAGAAAAAACAAATCAACTACAGTCTGGAGTGTCCCTTTAACCCCTTAAGGACACGTGACCTGTCATGATTCCCTTTTATTCCAGAAGTTTGGTCCTTAAGGGGTTAAGCACCAAAGCACACTGCTTGACTATGTGTTTTCCCTGATATCTTGTTGTTTTGTTCTAATTACACATTGTCTTTAATTTGTATTCACTTGCTGAGACATTAAAGACACTGCTCTGCCCATTGTGCTGACTTTTCCTCTCAGACATAGCTTCTGTTATTGTGATGTATACCTTATAATAGTATTATGTTACCTGCTTCAATTGTAATAGCAGCTAGCTTGCATTTTCAAATAGGTTTTGATTTCAAAATATTTTGATTCGCCTAAAGGTGAACACATCAATTTTTGTGTATTTATTTACTTTTTTTAATTGTTAAATAAATAAAACTACGTGTACTAATTTTCCCCCTAATATTTCTGTATCTCTGTATAAGTTTGCATAGTTTAGTAAAGCAATTTTTTTCAATTTAGGTTTTACACTTTTTCTGTGCTTAGAAAATTGTTTAAATCATGTTTACTCTTTGTAGATGATTCTTTTCATGTAAACTATACATTGATAACCAACATTTTATAATAGATTCTGTTTTATTCCTTGTGCTGTGAATTATGGTGAGTAGTAAACTGATTGCACATTTACAGGAATGTTTACTTAAGTGAAAATTCAAAGTGAATTTAATTCAAGGTCTAAATAGGTGAACTGGAAACAATGTCTAACTCAGCTATGCTTTGTTTGGCTACTCTGGCCTTAAATTTGAAATTAACTTTGAATTCTCACTTTACTAAAAAACCCTGTTAAAAAGTAAGGAGAATCTTTCCAACTCGGATGTTTTCTCATCAAAAATTCACAGTTTTGTTGTTTTCCACAACTATTTCCTTTTTAAAGTATCATTGAGGTGAAGATGTTACGTTGTGTGTATTTTTTTTTTTTTTTTTTCATCTAGACAGATCTTTGTTAGAAATAGACTGGGCTTGCAAAGCTTAATGTGAGTTGTAGTTTTGCATAGGTGGTTACATAAAGAAGATAACATCAGAAACTAGTGTGGATTCACATATTGACTAATGTCAGATCAAAGTGAATGTGGTATGTATGTTTATAGAGATGTTTGTGGTTCTACATTGTGGACAATAACAAATCCAAGTGGAGAGTGCTTTGCTTGTGTGTTCACACAAGTGTCAGACGTGTGATGTTCATGAGAATTGATGCTAACATTTAAAATGCTAATATATATATATATATATATATATATATATATATATATATATATATATATATAAAACTGGAGTTGAGGTGATCACAATCTGTAGAATTGTATTCCACATTGTGCTAAAAAATATATACAATTAATGTTGATAGTGCCTACTGAAAAACACTGCACTGTAATTACCTACCATCTGAAATCGAGAAAAAGAATTGTCCTAGTGCAATACTAGCCTTGATGAAAACAAAGTGCCCCTTTAAAAGGCACTATGATTGTATTGGTTTCAGTTGAAGCATATATAGCTCTGATTCTTAAACTGGGTTATTTTATATTTATTTCAGTACTGTGAACATTTTATCTATATTACACTAACAACAACCCCCTCCCCAAAGTATTTACTCACTAAACAATTTAAAAGAATAATCCTAAATTGAAGCTTAAAGAAAAAAGTTACTTAAAAAAAATACCTTTTTTTTTTTTTAATTTATTTTTTTTACCAGCTTTGTTCTTTTGACTTAGTTTGGGCTTGTTGTTGCTATTATTAGCATTTTAGCTAACACCAACATATTCAGGGGAACTTAATAATTATAGAAAGGGGATATTTAGTGGTGAAGAAAGTCTTGCTCATGCGAGTTTACAATCTATGAAATTATTAATCAGATTACAATATACTTGAGTCTTGTGGACATACCATGGTAAAACCATGAATTTACTGGTTATGAGATTTGCCATGTTGTCCTAAATCTGTTTTTAGTCTACTTTTTTTTTTTTTTTTAATTTGGAAAGATGCTGCTTTTTTGAATGTCATACATTCAAGCACATGTCTCAAGTTTCACAAATGTTAATGCATTTGTTTACACTCTCTGTTTCTAATACCATATTCTGGGATGATTTTGGCTTTTGTCATTGTAGAACTAACATTCACCCAATTTTATTTTAAAATATCGCTACAATCTTCCTATATATTGATCCATGTCTTTGGCTTTTTGTCTTGTGTATTGTTCCTATGCTTGATAATGGTGGAGCGTAAGGCAAACACCACTTCCTTTATCAAGTATAATTTCCCACAATATCGCCTCACCATTTGTTCTTGCAATGCTTTTCACTACATGACCCTTGAAGAAAGATGTTCTGTATGCATGCACCAAAATTTAGTATGAGCAAACAAGGGCAGAGACAATCAATCACTGCCAGGATCCTGAAAATGGCTTTGCATGGGTATAAGACCCAGTGCCCAAATCAAGGATAAAAAAGGGGTAAAATGGGGGCCTATATTTAAAAACAAAACACTTTGGGGAGGGGAGACATAGATAACAAACAAAAGTGGCCCAGCTGGTTACAGAGCCACTTTAATGTAGTAAATCACTTAGCATTATATTGTTAGTTAAATGTGTATATATTAAGTGACATTGAGATTTTATTATACATTCTTATTTGGTTTAGTACAGATCTAGAACTTGTTAATTTCCAGATTTGTATTAAAATGTAGGAATTTAAACAAATCTGTAATATTTATAAAGGCTTCTGAGTATGTTTATGTGCATTTGCTAAATGTCATTAGTGAAAAATAAACTGAAGTGACTCAATGTCGCCTTTAAAAGTAGCAATGTATACTACTGGGCTATGCAAAATGGACACACAAAGAACCATAAACAATTATTCTCTGTAGCTTATGCTTTAAGCAACAAATATGACCCCATCTCTTTATGTCCTACAGCTGTAGCAAATTTCAAAAAACTAAAAAAAAGATGGGCCAATCATATTGGAGTTACCATTTAAATTACATGCTGCCTTGCTGGATGCATCTGTGTTGGGGCTTAGCAACCTTAAGTTATAGAAAATCATCAGTTTGCAGAGCCTTGTATCCAAAGAATTATTGCATCTGTGAAAAAGGGTTAAGCAGCAAGTCATACTCAGGTTTATGCTGAACTGATTTCATGCAGTTTGAAGTTTAATTCATTTTGCGTAATCTCATCATGTAAGACACAAAGCTGTAGATCTGGAGATTAAAAATGCCAGGATAAACATTTTTTTTTTTCTTTTTTTATTCCTCCCGTTTGCCATTATGTTTGCTGCCTGAAACATGATCTCAAAAATAAAAAAAATAAATAAAAAATTGCCATTGTAATGAAAATATGATTAAAGTTGTTGCTGTGGGCCTTTGTTGCAAATGTATGCTTCCTTGGTGACTGGAAAATACTTTGTTTTTGTTTTTTTTTAAAACATTTTTGTTAAAGGGGCATTCCAAGTAATGGTGGACTGCAATTCACATCATCCTCGGTTGTATGTCTAGTTTTAGTGTCAAATTTTTCCAACACTGGCCTGTTGTCTTATTTAACCAGAATTGGTTCTGGCAAATTTGTAGTATTTAAGTAACAATGTATTAAGAGAAATGTATCCTTTTGTATTTTGTTTTAATTCCTCTTTATATGTCAACAACATTTCCCTTTCTTTAACTAATACTGTTAGGATATCCAAATTGTAATTTTTGTTCTTTCAGTGTTTCCACTTGGCTTATTGCTATGTATACAATTTCTGTTTTTCATTTGCAACAAATTCTGCCATAGCGCCCTTGTGGATTTCTTGTAAAAGGCTATACAGAGGTAAAACTGTTGCAGTTTTGGGGCAAAGTGCTAAATCACCATGGAAACCAGCAAAATGTTTCTGAACACTTAGCAGTTTGCTTAGGAATTGCGCCATTTGTACCTTGGTTAATATGGCCCAAAATTGTCTTGTAAGATGCACTGAAATACTGTTGTTCTCTTCAACATAAACTTTTGAAATAAAGATTTTATGTATGATGTCTGACTTTTTTACCTTGACTCTTTATTCATATTAAAGAAAAAAAATATATATTGTTTCATTCACAGCCAGGTATGTTTCAGTTTCAGTTTAAAAAATAGTCTTTCAGCGTCGAAAACTAAAACAACACCACTAAGCAGAATAGGAACAAAAGAAACGGGATCCTCACAGAGAAGGATGTAAGAAAGACCGCGCTAAAGCATCACAATAAGGACGCAATATAAAAGCGACACAAAATCAGATTGAAGGTTGTAGGTCTCCACTTTAAAAGCCTCTAAATCAGGGACAGAATGTATACATATATCCTCTGCATTACTGGAAACCATCATGTATTGTAAAAAGAATGGAAAATGCCAAAAGCTAGTATAATCAAAAAATCCATATGCGTAAAAAAAAATGGTGACGGGATTCTACAAAGATATATTAGTGATGTAATTTGAAAATATATAATACCCACAAACTCCATCTGTATATAAACAGAGTATATAAACAATCTGTATATAAATGGAGAGAAAGTGAAAGGTTAAAAATTTGCTTAATTATATATGTGGAAAACCTAAAGGAAAAGGCAGTTGCAAACTTAACTATAAAAATTGCAGAAGCCTAAGATTGGAACTACATTAGTTTATATGAACTAGAAAGGAGACCAGCAAAAAGGGAATATAAAAGGAAAGGAGAAAACAAAAGGGGCTGGTGAACTAAGTAGTGAAAATGGCTACTGCAAAGATTCCAAAGACAAAAAGGATAGAAAACAAGATAAACAAATGTCTGCCTCTTTCTCTCCCCAAAATTAACAAGGAGTTGACAATTCACTTTCAGAAGAAACTCTTCATCTAATTTACTAGAATTTATTCAAATAAATCTGGAAAATCAAACAGAAACAGTTAATAAGGAAATAAGGTAATAGTACATGTCAATTAAAACAACAAATAGAAGAGATTGGTATGAAACTAATAAAAATTGAAGAAAAATATGAAAAAATAGAATTCCAGTATAAAGCAGAAATTAAGGAGCAAGAAAGAATGAAGATGGATATCAATAACTTAGAACACAGATTAAATTAAATTAAATGGAGGACAGACAAAGAAAAAATATCAGACTAAAAAATATACCTGAGGACATTACCCATGAGAAGATAAAATTGGTTTTATTGGAATTTTTTGCAGCATTAAATATCAACCTACAAAATCAAGAAATGGTGATTGGAAATACATATTGGGTGAGAAAACGGCAAAATATCCCGGATCCATGCCCGAGAGATATGGTGGTCTCCTTATACTCTTTACAAACAAAACCGCAAATAATCCAAGCAAGTAGAACTAAGAAGATAATAGAAGAAAGATTTAAAAACATCCCAATATATCAAGACCTTTCATCATTTACAAGAATGTGGAGAAAAAAATTCACCCCAGCCCTGATGCCACTTAAACAACATAATATAAGATACCGCTAGGGGCCTAACAGAACTATAACAGTATTTTGGAAAGACACAAAGAAAACGTTCGCTGAGGCAAGGGAATTGGAGGAATGGACAAAAGAACAAAAATAAAAAGATTAAAAATCTAATAAGGTGCCATTCAGAGGAACATGAAGAGAAGGGAAAGGAAAGAGAAACTTTTTTTTTTTTTTATTGTTTGCACAGGACACCAAAAGTAATATGGAACAAGTCACAGATATAAGTGTCACAAGAGTATTATTATTATTGTCATTTATTTTGTTTCTTTAACCCCTTAAGGACTGGACTGTTTTTGCGATGTTGTACATTTGCGACCAGGCATATTTTTACACTTTTGTGGTGTTTGTGTTTGGCTGTAATTTTCCGCTCTCTCATTTACTGTTCCCATACAAATTATATATTGTTTTTTTCAGGACAAAAGGGGCTTTCTTTACATACCATTATTTATATAATCTCATGTATTTTAATTTAAAAAAAATATGATGAAAAATAGAAAAAAACACATGTTTTTTTACTTTTACTTGAAAAATCTTTTACTCATCTACAAAAGCGAATAAGAAAAAAAACTGCTAAATAGATTCAAAATTTTGTCCTGAGTTTAAAAATACCTAGTGTTTACGTGCTTTTTTTTGCATGTTATAGGGCTATAGGTACAAGTAGGATATTGCGGTTTCAAAACAAACATTTTTAAAATTTATCAATAGTGACATTGTAACACTATTATCTGTCATAAATCTCTGAATAACACCCCATATGTACATATTTTTTTTAAAGTAGACAACCCAGGGTATTCAATATGGGGTATGTCCAGTCTTTTTTAGTAGCCACTTAGTCGAAAACACTGGCCAAAGTAAGCATTCATATTTGTTTGTGTGTAAAAAAAGTAAAAAAACTAAATTGAAAGCTAATTTTGGCCAGTGTTTGTGACCAAGTGGTTACTAAAAAAGACTGGACATACCCCATTTGCAATACCTTGGGTTGTCTTCTTTTGCAAATGGTAATTCTCATTCCTGGGCTACCATACGCTCTCAAAGGCAACGTAACCAACCTGGCCATTTTCAATGTAAAAATATTTGACACATATATTTGACCTTGTAACTTTCAAAAATGCTATAAAACCTGCACATGGGGGGTACTGTTTTACTCGGGAGACATCGCTGAACACAAATATTAGTGTTTAAAAACTGGAAAACGTATCACAACAATTATATCATCAGTAAAAGTGCTGTTTGTGTGTGAAAAATGCAAAAAGTCACTTTCACTGACAATATCATCGCTGTGATATGTTTTACTGTTTTGAATCACTAATATTTGTGTTCAGCGAAGTCTCCCGAGTAAAACAGTACCCCCCATGTACAGGTTTTAGGGTGTCGTAGAACGTTACAGGGTAAAATACAGTGCAAGCAAATTAAATTCTCTGGTATTTTGGCCTGGGTTGGCAGGCAGGTCCCTCAAATTGCAATCAATAAAATTACTGAATTATGTAAAAATATTACATAAATACGCACGTAGAATTTAAATATATATGCATATTTATATATTTGAAGTCTACGTGTATATTTATATAATTATTATTTTTTTTTTTTGACAATCTTTATTTTCCATTTCACGTTTGAAAACAACAATGTCGAAGAACATTTTTTTTTTTTTGCGTTATTACATCTCAACTGTCAGTATACAAACGAAATTTTTACACTCCTGTAGTCAGGTACTTATACTTTGAAATGATGGGAGGAGAGGAAGTATGTCTGCTCCCTTGTGAGAACCCACTGGATGTCAGACAGGGTTGTCTGGCACTGTGTTAGCATTTTGGTGGTACTATGTTACAGCCATCATGTTCCCTTTTATCGCTTGACAAATATATTGTTGAGCATGATATAGAGCTACAGTAGCGAAAAAACATTTAGTGCCTTTACACCTCCAATGTCTACAAGCAATTATTTACATTCAGGCCATCAGATCACTTGGGTGAGAGCCAAGTGTGGTGTTTTTAGATAAAGTTTTCCTCTACTGTGGGTAGGCAGTTGTCAGTGAATATATTTGTATGCTTATCGGTATAGCTCGTCATATGGGAGGGTACGCTGGGTACCAGTCAAGGTAGTCAGGCGGTATGTTATCATGCCGGTGTCAACTTTATATGTGGTCTCAATTCCCTGTGTGTTCTGCTCCTGTGCTTACAATGAGTGTGTATATAAATATGCCCCTGTTGCGGGCTTGTCAGCGTCAGTCGTTCGGGGTTCGGTCCGGTGTCCAGTCATGGAAAAGGGGCTGGAGGTAGGAGACACAGGGAATAGGGGTAGATGGGTAGCTTAGCTCTGTATGAGTCGGCTTTCTGCGGGCCTCTGGGGAGCCATGCTTGGGTTTGCTGATCTGTTGGCTAGGTATGTTGCCCAAGGGTACCAGGTCAGTGCACATTGCTCCTGCCTACCATGGAGGTCTGCAGTTAGGGATTCCATTGAGTGGATATCTTCCACCTTTGTCACCCATTGCTGGAGGGTAGGCGCCCCCCTCTGTTTCCACATTGCCGGGATAAGGGTCTTTGCTGCGTTGAGCAGTGGCAACGTGAGGGATTTCTTATACGTCTTGATGGGTGTGGGGGTGTGGTGTAATAACATCGTTAGGGGTTCTAGGGGTAGCTCCGCTCCCGTGATTCTGTTTATCTCTACCCTGATCCTCTCCCAGTATGTGGTGATCTCGGGGCACGTCCACCAGATGTGGAAGTACGAGCCGGTGTACATTCCGCATCTCCAGCAGGTGTCCGGGGCACTCTCGTTCATGCGATTAAGTATGTCAGGGGTTCCCGCGGGTTAAAATTTTGTAATTCAGCTCCTGGTACTTTGAGCTGTTAGAGCATTTATGTGTGAGGGTGTAGATCTTGTCCCAATCCTGCACGGTAAGGACTTCCCCCGAGTCTCTCTCCCAGTGGTCCTTAAATTTGAGCACCACATCCTCACTAGTTTGGGTCTTGAGTATGGTATGTATGGTGGAGATACCCCTGTGTATGTGTGTTCGGTGTACGCACAGGTGTTCAAAGCTGGTGAGGGGTCTAATCAGATGCCCTCGACCATGTAAGGATAGGAAGTACGTCTTAACTTGGTGGTATCTGAATTGTTCGAGTAATGTCGGTGGTCTATCGGGGCAGAGGTTTCCGAGTGGTTTAAGTCCCTGAGTGTCGAGCCATTGGTGTAGGTACATCCAGTCTGCCTGCTGGAGGCCGGCTAGGTCTTGTGGGGTAAGGGCATCGGCCAGGTCCGGGTTATATGTGATGGGTGTTAAAGGGCTGGGGGAGCTGGTGAGTTGCAGTCGATCGCGTATAGCCATCCACACTCGGAGCGTGGCGTCGATTAGGGGGTTCTTGGTGTGTAGGTCAGTGTATGTGGCGGTATGTAACCAAAGCCTGGAGGGTATTTTTCTGTCCGTTTGTTCCAGTTCCAGGGTCACCCATTGTTTTAATGGGTGTTGTGCATGCCAGTCCGTCAGTCTATGCAGGTGTGCGGCGCGATAATACGTCTCTATGGAGGGCAGTCCCGTGCCCCCCATCAGTTTTGGCAGTTCCAGGGTTGATTTTTTTTGTTCGGGATGGGCGGGAGTTCCATACGAATCTGCGTATGGCGGTCGTCATGGAGCTGAAAAAGGCTCTGGGCATATTAATTGGCACTGTTTGGAATAGGTAGAGTATCCTGGGTAACACGTTCATTTTAACCGCATTGATACGTCCGAACCAGGAGACGTAATATGGGGCCCGTTTCTTAAGGTCTGTCTGAAGTGAGTGTAGGAGTGGGTGATAGTTATGGTGGTATAATTGGGACGGGTCCTTGGTCAGCCATATGCCCAAGTATTTTAATTTGATATCGCACCATTTGAGCCTATATTGGGAGTAACGGCTGAGTAAGAAAGAACAGCATGTTGTCTGCATATGCGGCTACTCGGTATTCGCTGCGACCGAGGCGGAATCCAGAGATTCCCCCATTCCGTCTGACCGCCCCCAGGAATGGTTCCAGGGAGAGGGCAAACAGGAGGGGGATATATAATTATTTATGTAATTTTGTATATGGACATATGTATATTTCGTATTATTTTTATTTATTTATATATACATAGATATATATACAAATTCATTCTAAGTGTATTTTGATATAAATATATATATATATTAATTTTAAAATACAGTTAGAATAAAATTTCATATAGATATATAATTTTTTAAAATTTTTTATTTAAAAAAAAATTATTTAATTTAAATTACTTATTATTTATATTTTATAATAATATATATATACAATATATATAGTTATTATATATATTATATATACGTGTGTAATTTAATTATAAGTGTATTTTTATATTAATAGAAGTACATATTAATATAAAAATACACTTAGTATGGCATATATATGATATATAGACATATATTATATACATATAATATATGTCTATATATCACATATACACATATATAATTATTTTATTTTTTTATTAACACTAACTTTATTTATTTTTTTATTGATTTTACACTAGCAGGGAGACTGCCTGTCAGCACAGACAGTCCCCCTGCAGGCAGACACATGGACACCTATTGTGACCATGTGATCGCTGTGTTGAGCGATCACATGGCCACAGGGGTCCTAATTCAGTGTGGGGAGACTGTCTGGTCTGCAGGCAGTCTCCCCACACCGGGAGCAACGCTGATCGCCGCCGGGGGAACGACGGCGATCAGGTAAGTAACTAAGACCGTTAGGACGGTTCAGGACCGTCATCGGTCGGCAAGGCAAAAATGCAGATGACGGTCCTGAACCGTCCTCGGTCGTTAAGGGGTTAATGTTTTGCATTGTCTTTTATACGATGGAAAAAAAAATCAAATAAAGACTGTTTAAATTCGATTTTAGAGTTGGTCAGATTAAGACCTCACAACGACCCGGGGCACCGAGAGAAGCAAACAGATGCCCTTCTTTCAACCCCCAAAGTCCGGGAAGGCCAAACGCAAAACCAGGGCCTACCTCCCGCAGGCCACCCACATCCTGGAAACTCTCCTCGGAAACTACCAAGTGCATGATAATCTGGACATGGAGGGAGAAGACACCTCGACACCTAAAGACACCCCCACAACAAAGGGGCGCCGCACACAGAAGTTGCAACAGGGCTCAAGAGTTGAACAGCCAGATATTGGAGTGCTGTTGCAGCGACAAGCACCATCCAAGATGGCCGCTGCAGAGGCCTCACCTGCTCCAACGCTGCCTACACCACCAACCCAATCACCAGCATTGCGGACAGAGAGGGAACAAAACACCATGCTCCCAGCCCTTAAAGACACAGAGGATCATACTCTTGTCACAAAACAGGACCTCCAACAGTGGATGAAAGAGCTCCAAGACATACTTACAGCGGATATCGGCACCCTTAAAGCAGATGTTCGACAGACCGCTGAAAGGGTAAATGCCGTGGAGGAGAACATTCTCAAATTAAACAATGGTGTGTCTCACCTCACGGACACACTGCACACATTAAAAGCGGCCCACCAGGCACTAGCGGTACAGGTCTCCACCCAAGGGGACCGCTTGCGCCGCAACCACATCAAGCTCCGCGGTGTACCCACAGCAATCACATCGGCTGAACTGCCACACTTCCTTAGGAGACTAATGTCCACCATACTGTCCCCATCAGCTTCCCGGAAATATCTTTGAAGAATACATACCACTTACCGACAAAGACAAATCTACCATATTGACAGTGGTGAGAGGCAAGACACCCCTGGTGTTTGAAAATACCCAATTGCTCTTCTTTCAGGACTTCACAAGGGCCACGCTGCACTGGCGGAAAACACTGTACCACCTTACCAGTCGCCTGAGAACAGCAGGCATAGAATATCGCTGGGGGACACCAAGAGTCCTAACATTTACTCATAATGGGACTACTTACAGAGCCACATCAGAAGCAGATATCTCCGCAATCCTCACTTCGTTGGGATTCCCGGGACTGCCTATGACAAGAACCACAAAAAGCCCAACCTGGATTGGAGATCCTGCCACGGCGGCGCTATTCACCCCTCGACCCCTGGGAAGCACAAATGCAGCTCCATGAGGGAGGCCACTCTCAAAGCTACCCACGCTGGTCAGACCAGACACAGCCTCAGCAGAATACTGTTATGTTATGTTTTTTATACAATCTTCGTGCTATGTTATGATTTCCATATAATATTAGTCTCTCACCTTCTCTGGGGTCTTAGTGTCCCGTCCAGACTAAGTGATGGTGGTACAGAACCACATTAATACGGAGGAACCAGCCAACTCCCTCCCGCTTACCTTATCAGTTCTCGTAACGCAACATGTTAAAAAAATTTAAATTGTGTGCAACTCCACTAGACAAGTTATGTGATGCCTCTAAACCGGTATTATGCCATGATTCATCTTTTACTTGTATCGCTGTAACTCATGACATGTTGTCATGCACCTTCAAAATAAAGAATAAAAAAAAAAAAATCGATTTTAAAATAAAAAATAAAATTAAAAAATCACAATCATATAAAAATAATTTATAAGACGGACTGGCCCAGTAAGGACATGGGAACAAGCTGGGGGTAGTGAATCACTGCTGTTGGCAACACCCACATGCATGTCTACACACAATCCGATGCTTAACCAAGAGAAACGGATCACACCTAACCCAAACGTGACTACCAGTGAATATCCATGAGACACACTGAAAATGACCACTTGACTGAATAACTAACCACCGTTAACCAAAACAAATCAGGCTACACAATGATCAAACACAACCTGGAGAGAGTCGCTAAACAAACTAAAACGACTGACTCATGAAAAAGGCAAGAGACTGGTAAACTCCGCAGCAAAATGCGCATTGCGCAAGTTCCCTATGCTAAACACTACAGTTAACCCCATTACCTTCCTTTCTGTATACCAAGTTAATTGCAAAACTACTCATATCAGTAAATGTGATTACACGTGTAAGTCCAAAGTTGCAAACCAGACAAACGTATATGTAATTTTTCACCCCAATCCTCCTTACCTTTTTTTCTGTACCCTAACCACAATAAAAATTGTCAAATGAAAAAATATATATATATATTTATAAGAATCAATATTACTACACATGAGAAAGGAATCCAGTGAAGGTTCAGATTTGGGAAAAAGGAATATCATCATATTAGCATTCTAAAACATACCTAGTGGAAAAAATAATAACTAAAGTAACATAATAAAAAATAATAAAAATGGAAAAAAATATGATGAAATGAAAATAAAGAAAAAAAATAATGAAAAATAGTATGCTGTTAGTAAATCACACAGAATTAGTAATATTGTGTCAAACCCATTAGTAAAATGTTAATTAATCATAAAAGATTAGTAAGAGTATAATGACAAAAGATAATAAAAATATCAAGTAAGAATGAAAAAATAAATAATACAACAATAATACAATAAATCAATAAATAATTAATAATGAAGCCTGAAAAAATAATTTAAAAAAAACCTTGATTATAGAAAACATACCACATCAAAATCAACATTTAAGCCACTAGGTTGCAAAGTATGCAATCTGTGAATCCCAAATCCCTCTCTCCTCCTTAACTTCATCATGAGATCTCCTCCTCTACCATCTAACGTGACTTTTTCTATTGCGACACAGGAGAAATTCTTTTCATTTAATGTTGACAATGGTAAGGTACGGAATGGGTATTCATTATTTTGTTAATGTTGTTCAAATGTTTCATTAGTTTAATTTAAATTTTTCTCCCAGTTCACCTTACATATTGAGCTCTGCAATTACAGGTTAGGAGATAAATCACATATTTAGTTTTACATGTTATCAAATCAAAACTTTTAAAAGACTCTCCTGTCTGAATACTAGAAATATATTTAGTTTTTCTGGGTAAAAATTGGCATCCCTTACAATTTATTATTGTATTTTAGTTTTAAAATAACTTGTTGCAAGAATATTTTTTTAATTCTTATTTTTTCTAAAATTAATATTAGGTTTTTGTGGTATTTTTGATTTTAAAACTTTGTCTTCTAGCAAAAGGGGCCAGTATTTACTTATAATTATTTTGATATTAAAAGCTTGTGAATTACTTTGTGTGCTGAAGCAATATTCTAATTTTTTTTCTTTCATCTGTATGTCTAATTTTATTATTTAATAATTCTTTCCTGTCTATTTGTCTAATGCAGGCTTCCCCAAACTCCGGCCCTCCAGATATTGCTGAACTACAACTCTCATGAGTCTATGAATGAAATAGGCTGAGAATCATGGGAGTTGTAGTTCAGCAACATCTGGAGGGCTGGAGTTTGGGGAAGCCTGCTCTAATGCATGTAATTTCTCTATTTAAAAAATCTTTCTAACACCCTTTTTCTAAGATTTGTTTCTTTAAAAATGTTGATTGTTCCACGTAGCCACCCACATCTTTGATATTTCTACGTATGCATGTGAATTGGCTGCGTGGAACTCCCAAAAGCCATTTAGGGTGATGTCACCTTTGTGTCAATAAAACTGTTGGCATCTGTTGTCTTAAAAAATGTTCTTGTTTTAAAATTTTCTTGTTCTGAAAAAATGGTGAGATGATTTTTATATGCTTGTGATTTTATAAATTGTGAGATGATAAGAATAGTAATAGTGTTTGTTTCTCTTTTTTCTATACTCAAGACATTACACCCTGTTCCAAATTATTATGCAAATTATATTTAAGTGTCACAAAGATAAAATATTTTGTTTTTCAGTTTAACTCATGGATGGCATTGTGTCTCAGGGCTCTTTTGATCACTGAAAACAATCTCGGACACCTGTGATAATTAGATTGCCAGGTGAGCCCAATTTAAGGAAAAACTACTAAAGGAGGGTGTTTCACATTATTAAGCAGAGCACCATTTTCATGCAATATGGGGAAGAAAAAGGATTTCTCTGCTGCCGAAAAGAGTGAAATAGTTCAATGCCTTGGACGAGGTATGAAAACATTAGATATTTCACGAACACTTAACCGTGATCATCGCACTATTAAGAGATTTGTGGCTGATTCAGAGCACAGACAGGTTTGTGCAGATAAAGGCACATTGAGGAAGATTTTTGCCAGACCCATGCATCGGATCAATAGAGCAGCTGCTAAAATACCATTACATAGCAGCAAACAGATATTTGAAGCTGCTGGTGCCTCTGGAGTCCCATGGACATCAAGGTGTAGAGTCCTCCAGAGTCTTGCAACTGTGCATAAACCTTCTATTCGGCCACCATTAACCAATGCTCACAAGCAAAAACGGCTTTGGGCAGAAAAATACATGAAGACTAATTTTCAAACAGTTCTGTTCACTGATGAGTGCCGTGCAACCCTTGATGGTCCAGATGGATGGAGTAGTGGATGGTTGGTGGACGGCCACCCTGTTCCAACAAGGCTGCGACGTCAGCAAGGTGGTGGTGGAGTCATGTTTTGGGCCGGAATCATGGGAAGAGAGCTGGTCGGCCCCTTTAGGGTGCCCGAAGGTGTAAAGACGACCTCTGCAAAGTATGTGGAGTTTCTGACTGACCACTTTCTTCCCTGGTACAGAAGCAAGAACTATGCTATCCGTAATAAAATCATGTTCATGCATGACAATGCACCATCTCATGCTGCAACAAAATACTGTTATCGTTAGGAGGTTTGTTCAATAAAATTTGAATTATATTCTTAATTGTTGATAACATGAAAATTATGCTGACTGTTATTTACACTTACCCTTTATTTCCCCGAGGACTTTTGCTTATTTAGGCAGTAACTGTATATAGAAAAGCCTATAGGGCAGATGTGGGAGCACCATCATGTTGATGTCATCTGCCAGGTCATGGAACTGATGGTGTTTCCTGCAAAGTTTATTGAATATGTCATTGAGAGTAGAGAAGTGTAAAGTGAGTAAAGCCTGTTAGCAGAAAAGAGTGTTTTCTTTGAGTTTGAAGAGTGTTTTCCATTACAGCTATTTTCCCATAAGGCCAGTTAATTCCGTTTTATCTTGAGTAATATTGGATGCTTTTTTTTCTTTGGTTTTTCTATATATTGGGGCTGATGTGTACTGTGGTCGTTGCTGCCGCCCAGGAGTGATGGGAGTGAGTGCAGGACTTCTCTTTTTGTATTTGTATTTACTTTGTATCACACAGCTTTGTTACAATGCTGCCGTCCATCCCATGTGTTCCCTATTAAGGGTTAATAAGTATATAGGGGTGTATATAAAAAGTACCCCTCTCTGTCTCATTAGAGATATCTTTGCCAGAGGCTCAAGGAGACAAGGTGAAGGGCCAGTGTAGAACCCGCTTAGGGGCGTCTGCCTTGACATTGGTAGGCGGGCATTCCCTCCAATGGCCATTGGAGTAGCTAAATGACCTCCATTTGTCTAAATATACATAGGGATTAAGGAGAGAGCACAGGTAACTTTTTTTCTTTGTTTTTTTACTAATATTGGATGCAATTTGACAATGTAGGTCAGGCAGTAGTGCCTTAAGGTCCATTTGTAAAGCTGGGAGGGGGTCCTTCTTAATGGGTCCAATGGAGAGTGGTGGTGGCGGCTTTCAAGAGCCCCTCGCTACGTCCTCAATGCTGTTGGAGAGCTGATTCTTGCTTAATACACCACATCAAAGCCTGCTAGATTACCCTTGTGGTCTTCTGGGGGTCGATTGGATTGGGATAAGGAATGTTTAAAAGGTTGAGGAA